GCTAGCAGCTTATGTGATTCACCCCATGCATTGTTAGTGTATTTTATGGTTATCTCCAGCAGCTGTTTCTGTAGTACTTGCATTTATCTTTTGTCTAATTTAATTCTAATTGAATTCCCCTTTCTTCATGGAGGCATTCATGTTCAAAGTGGTGATTCGATTCCTTAGATGCATAGGGAAGAGCCTCAAGTTTGATGGAGATGGTGGACAGTTTAGTAGTGAATTAGCCATATGTACTACATTGAATTTGTGCTAGCAGTTTGAGCACTAGTTCTTTATGCCTATGAACCTAATGCTGCTTGTTGTCCCATTCCACCTTGACTTCATGGAGAATTAATCCCACCTATTAAGCAAAGGCTACTAAGTTAATGATATTCTCTGTGCAGAAATTAAAATTTTATTTTTTAGCCTTTAAAGAATTTTTCCAGTAGGTACTTGGCTCCTTAAAAACGAAAATTATTCTCAAAACATTCATCATGAGACAACTGGAGTTTTTGCTGGTTTTGTAACCTAAAATGGATAGGCTGTTGAACATTCCACATTCACAAGTTTTGTAGGGTGGTGGGTAATGGGGGAATCTTCAATGTTTATTTTAAAATAAATAAAATAAGTTCTTGACTTTTCTCATGTGTGGTTGTGGTACATCATATTGGAAGGGTTATCTGTTTACTTTTGCAAATGAGTATTTCTTTTGCTAGCACCTCCCCTTGTGTGCTTTAAATGACATCTGCCTGGGATGTACCACAACCATATGTTAGTTGTCCTTTAGGGGGATGGGTAAAATTTTCATGCTTCATTGGCTAATCCCTAGGTGATGTGTGCTTGCAATCCTATGAAAAACTAAATTTGCTATCTATAGAAAATAGTTTCATGACATTTAAAAATCAAAGTAAACTTGGTCTTTATTCAGTGATCAATTAGTATGAATCAATTCAGAGATGGGAGAAATGCCTTCTAGGTTTCAAACTTCTGTGCATTAGTGCAGATGTGAATGTGTAAAGGTATTCATAGTTTGGTAACATGTATTTTTAAAAAGAACTGTTTGTTCATTTCAAAATACTATAATACGGGGGTGGCATTCTGTTATCACATTTTAAATGTAAACCTTTCATTTGTTAATTCAGACCACATTTTTTTAAGGAATGCCTGATAGGGCAGAGAACTTTTCAAAAATCTCATCAGGATCTGAATCTTGGTACTCAGTATTCTGTATAATATGTGAATGCTTGTCTTAGCTGCAGAAGGCCTTCTATTTGCTCAAGTGAGTATTTTAGCAGTTAAAAGGAAGTGGTTACTATATAGTATCTTGGTATAGCAAGAACACATATAAAATACTTTTGTACTTGCACAATTTTAGTCATTCACAAGGATAATGAAACTTCTTTTTTCAAAGTTTCACTAAAGGTAGAATGTCATTGATGACCTGAACTGATTAGCACAGTTTTATTCCCAGATTCTAGTATTCATAAAGAATATGGGAGAGATTTCTGATCATTGTATCTTGATATTAAAACAAATGACTTCTCAGTGTTTTTTAATTAACTTTTAACAATTCTTTTGTTTCCCTATACATACAACTTTGTTGTGCGGGAGACTTTCCATTTAAACACGAGACATGAAAATGTGTGCTTATTGTCAGGTTTATTGAGGTGCTCAGTTGACAACCAGTTCATTTTTGTAGAAGGTTATTGAGCAAGTGAGCTTTCTAAGTGTTTTAGGAAATTTATTATACTGTTCATTGTATTTTCAGTGATGTATTTAATTAGAAGAAATGAAATGCAGATAAGCACTGAATTCGTACCATTCTTTTCAGCCTTAAGCTCCCAAATCTGCAGTCCATTGGAGTTCTTTCTAAGCACAGTTATTGACTTTAAATTTTAGTTCAAAGAATCAGTAATTGCCCCGACTTGTCCCTTTTATAAGAAGTAAATGGGGCGAAGAAACTCCTAGGAAAATTAAAAATAAATTGTTAAGGTTTATTTCTCTGTCCTTTCCAAACTCCCAGGAAAATAAAGATAAGTTGGACCTCATCTCTTTTTCCCATTTTGAGTTCTGTTAAGTTACTGGAAAAGACTAGTAATGTTTTTAGTCACATTAGATTAAATTATACGAAAACTTGTTTCCTACTTGTCTTTGAACAAAGTCTGCTCAGTTGTATATAGCATTTAGCAAAGCTCTAAATGAAGACATGTTTGTGAAAGAAGAAAAGGCTTAAATCTGTCTGGTAGTCTCATCTTTTAAGAAGGCGAGACAACTACTTTTCTGTTCCTGTCCTACTTTAACAAGGTGTTCTGAGGCCTAATCCCACTTTGATGCAGCAGTCTGGCTCTTTGAGTATTTCAAAAGTTTATCTCTGGTCTACTGAAAGCATTTTTTAAAAAATACTTATTTATAGGTGGGCCCAATATCTTTATTTTTTTTTTTTTATGTGTGCTGAGGATCGAACCCAGTACCTTACGCGTGCTAAACAAGAGCTCTACCTCTGAGCCACAACCCCAGCCCTAAGGTATTAAAATTTGTGTTTACATTCCTGTAAGTATTTAGGCACTTAACCACTAACTAGGCTCCATTTTGAGTTCTATTAAGCACTAGCCATTCAGTAAGAATCACTGTGGTCCCAGCTTCCATTAAAAAACAAAAAATGTGAGTATAGCAACATAGTTGGCAGTAGATATTAAGGCCATTACTCCTGCATGGCCTAGTTAAGATAGATTGGAGGATAATCAATCTAAGGCTTGAAGGATGAGAAGTGGTAAACTAGATCAGGGAAAGAAGCACATCCAAAGATCCAGTCTACATTGACAAAGAATACTTGACTGGATGAAGTGCAAAGGGTAAGGGGTAATAGAGGTTGGAAACACCAGTAAGGACTATTACGAGCAGCTTTACAATTAATGATTCATGTTAAATTTACCTCTTATGAAGAGATGGAAACCACTGGAGGTTTAAAAGCTTATTTTTCAGGGTGGGGATAGTGGGTCACCCAATAAAATTGCTGTTGGGGCATTCATTGCACTGTTGAGAACAAAATAATGTGGGCCAGGAGAAATAACGTAGGTAGTACATGCTGAAGTAGCTTTCTACTGTGATTGTAACATAAGGTGTGAATTGCTAGTAAGTGGATGTTATAGATTTCACTGGCCACTGCTTGGCATCTTTCTGATTTTCTCCAGTCCTTGGTTGTCAGACTTCATCACCAAGTGATCTCATCCAATCCCACGATTTTGAATAAGTGTTTCAGTTAAAAGTATTTGCAGTTCCTAAACTCCATCCTAACTAAATGTCTTGATTTTGAGTGTTTCTGGTCTTTCAGATTGACCTTTATTGATTGCCACTCACTGGCTGCTTTCAATTTATGGAATTGTTCAGGGCAGTTATTTTGGGTACCATCTTTTTCTTTGAAACCCTGTATCTAATCCTTAAACATCTGTTTCTACTGGGAAGTATCCCGAGTCACCTAATACTACCATTCTAGAACAGTAATAGCTTATGTTCCTTCTCTGTTTTTAGCCCTCCTGTGATTATTATTATTATTATTATCATTATTATCATTTTTGCACAGCAGCCTGAGTGAACCTTTCTAGAGGGCAAATCACTTCCTTTTCACGACCCTGTCCCCCCAAATGAAGTGGTTTTCCAGCAAATAGAATTGAATTCTAAATCTGGTCCACATTATGTTGGGCTGCTTGCCTACCACGTTTCACTTGCTTGCAGTCTTCTGGCCTCATTGACTGCTAAGCGTTTTTATCTCCTTGGCGCCTTTACATTTTTTGGTGTGGGAAGGCTATTCACTAACATTCTTGAAGCTCACTCTAGATTAAGGTCTTTTTTTCCCCGTACTACCTCAAAAACAGTACCCTTAGTGGATACTTTAACATTTAGAATTTACCTTAAAGGGGCAGGATCATTATGAACTAATCCCCTGTGAACAGAACCGTCTAGCATATTGACGTTTTTGTTGAATCAATTTATAAAATTGTGATGATGGGTATCGGACAAATGCCCGTTGTAGTGTAGCTGGTCACATTAAAATCTGAAATGCCTGTTTGGGAAAGGAACTTCAAGAATAAGAATTCGGTTTCTGACTAGTTATGTTAAGGGATCTGTCCCTCTTCCTCCCCAAAATAATGACTACAAAAGTATGTGTGGGTAGTCACGTTCTTGCACTGGGAGCTGGAGGGGATATTGAAGAGCAGAAATCTAGGATTAGTATTAGAGAACAGGTCTAAGGGGACCCTACAAAGGTCGGAAATCAGGTGGAAAATCTGCAGAACTCCACAGACAGGTTCATGAGATCAGTACCACGAGAGTTGAGGGTCTAGTGAGATGAATAAAAAGAAAAAGATCGGTGGTCTGAGCTTCCTCATCGTGTCACATCAAAGGCAAGTACTTTAAATACTTGCACATCCCTGGAGGCACCGCCTTTCGCATAACGAGGGCAACAGTGAAAACCCTGAACACCGTGTGCTGCACCTGGCCTGTGGAGACACCTGCTGCTAGCTCCCTACACTGCGCCAGGCACTGGTGGTGTGGACATGAAAGCGTTTGTCTTGCGTTGCGTAGTAGGCTTAGCCAACTTCGCAAATAATTGCACTTGGGGTCCGCTTCAGCCACCAGAATCTTACGCAGCGCAGTCGCGGTGGGGAGTCCTGGGGTAGCTCCGCCTCCGCGGCCTCTGACGCCATCATTCGCCGACCGCGTTGAGAAAGGTCCCTTCCCCGTCGCCGAGTCTTTGGTGTGCTCGTGCACTCTCTGCCTGCCGGCGCCTGGGCGGAACCGCGGCGGAGTGCGGAAAACTCTGCTGACGGCCAGGCACTCGCTAGGGGCAGCCTACAGCATCCTGCCCTTCTGGAGTTGTTCCGTTTCCCCACGTGCTTCCGCTTCGCGCTGGGCTGCCGGCGCAGGTACGTGTCGCGGGGCGTGCGGGGCGGCTGGAGATTCCCGCTAAGGTGGGCGTTCGTGTGGTTCCTGGGTCAGAAGCCGACTGGCCGGAGGAGGAAGCTTGTGCATCTAGGCTAACGCGTGGCCCACCCCCACGGCCCCCTCGCTAGGACGCTCCTGCAGGGCAGATTCCCCTTCTGCGAGACACAGCGTCTTGGGCTTGCTTCCCTGCGCTCTCGGGGATTGCGTGGAGTAGTCTCCGCCATCCAGGGATCTCTAGGGCCTAGTGGAGAATGGGTGGGTGACAGCACTTGCCTCTTGCGGAACTGACTCCCTCGCTGTTCGTTCTTGTAGCCTAGGCTTTGAACCGAAGCTCTCTGATCCAGGATTCTCCAGTGCTCGTGAGTATTTAACTATGCGCACACATTCATACTCCTTGTTTGGTAGTAGTATTTGGGACTTTATATTATTTGACAGTACAGCTAATGATGCCTGGCACGTAGTCATTATGTGTAGATAGATGAACAAATGAGTGAATGAAAAAATAAACATCTTTACGTGTCGTCAAGGCCCTCTTCATCTTTTACGCCTTCCGTGACAGCTCTATCCACAGTAATATCAGACCTTCATCAGACCCCTTATTGTAGCTGCTATTTGCACGTCTAATTTATATATATATATATATTTGTCCTTTATGTCTTTTTCTTTTTAATATCCCCTTTAGAGAGAATGAAAGTTTGAAATCAAGGACTTTGTCTGATACCTCTGGGGCTCCCATAGTAACTGGAACAAAAAGCAATCTCCAATAGTTACTTTTTTTTCGTGGAGTCTTTATGTGGCTAGAAATATAATGCCTACAAGCTGAGTAGATTGGCAGACTGGAAAGAGCTCAGGCTTTGGAGTCAGATTTAAGTGTGAATCCTATCCTATCACTTTTCTGCTTTGGGATACTTGATTTTTTTTTTTTTTAAATAATAGTTGTCTCTTTACTTATAAATAGGGACCACTGATTTTGACAGTGTTTTAATAATAAGACATGCTTGGAAATGTTAAAAGGGACAGTTAAAGCACAGTTAAGGTTCCATTAATAGCTTTATTAAAGCTTAGAATTAAGCAAATACTGGAGATTCTTGGTAGTGTGGTATTTTATGTTGTAGTGGTGTAATTGATATTTGTGATATTTGATGTATTTATTATGGTAATGATGCAGCATTTTATCATGGGTAATCACATAACGGGTGTGTGTGTGTGTGTGTGTGTCTGGCAATGAACCCAGGGCCTCAAGTATGCTGGGCATTCCCCCTACCATTGAGCTATATTGAGGTCTGTCTTTACAAAAGCTTCAATATGGTTTTCCATCACTTGCATAAACTTGTTTTTGACCTGACAGAATTCCAATCAGTTGATTTCTTTTCCTTAACTTTATGAGTAACATATTTAAAAATCAATCAATAAATCAATCAGCCCATTCAGAAAAAACTACATTGCATCTTGGCCTTTCTTTTTTAACCTCTCTGAGTCAATGGTATCATAACTACTAGGACATCCTCTCATAAGCATCTATATCCATATCTTGAGGTAGTTTGGAAAATGCCTTTGATATATGGCTATATCACTATATATTTTGTATTCCTAATTTTTTGAACGTTCAAGTCCTGATTTTTCTTAAGCTCCCTGGAAGAGTTATGAGGTTTTCCTCCCTGCTGACCTCCCATGCTGAGGGAATAATTTCTTTACTCCCAAGCCTGAATTTCCTGATTTTAAAAGCAGGCTGATATCTTTCCTATGGAGGATCAAGATGATACATTAAAAGTGGCTGGCGCAACCCCTTGCCCCAGAAGAGACAGCTAACTAGTGTTCCTTACCCATAATCTGCTATTTTGTCCAGTTGTATTTCCTTTCTTTCTCTTTTAGTGATAGTTTTTCACCATGCATCGGAAGAAGGTGGATAATCGAATCCGGATTCTCATTGAGAATGGGGTAGCTGAGCGACAAAGGTCTCTCTTTGTTGTAGTTGGGGATCATGGAAAAGATCAGGTAAGACCTGGTAAATACTCTCTGAGTTATCTTGTGTCCTGCCCCAGAGTCAGTATGTTACAACAGGCCCTCTGGGGTTTTAACATGTCAATTACGATCCCTTTGACTGCTAAGGTGCCTAGTAAGAACCTTTCTTTCATTTCTTAATCGTGGTAAATTCTCTCTACTTTGATTTATTAGCAAACAAGCCAAAAGTCTGTGATGCTTAGGGTGGTGTACTGACCATCAGGCTCAGTGTATGTGACCTAGCTTCTATTCCCCATCTGTTCTCTACTTGCCTGTGATCTTGGATGCCTCCCTCCCCTGGCTGTCAGTTTAATTTCTAATCTGTCAAATGAGGACTTGGGCCTAGTGGTCTCTGTGGTCTCCTTGGTCCCTGAGGTTCTGACTTTTTTCTTTGGCAGGTGGTAATCCTCCATCACATGTTGTCCAAAGCAACTGTGAAGGCTCGGCCTTCAGTGCTGTGGTGCTATAAGAAAGAATTGGGGTTTAGCAGGTAAGCTTGGCCCTTAGATGACCCAATCCTCTTATTTTAAAAGTAGGCTGATGTCTTTTCCTGTGGAGGCTTAAGATGATACTTTAAAGGTGCCTAGCACAACCCCTTAATTAACAATTCCTGCTGGTTAAAACCCAGGAAACAATTCCTTGACACAGATTATCACAATCTTTAGTGGAGATGACATTTCAGAGGATATTTCTAAGTGGGGAAAAAAATGGAGCAGATATCCTTTCTTCATTCCCAACAATAAATTTCAAATAATTTTCATACTCTTTGAGGTGTACCCAGCCCAGTGCCTTGTTTTAAGGTTCTCTTCCTGTTTTTCTGAGCTGATCAAGCCCATCTAATGCAAATTCCTTCAGTAGCCTTTCACTCTCCTTTTTTCCTTTGCAAAGAGGTGATTTTCCTCATCCTGTGTCCAAGGAAAACTCTAGGTCTCCTGTCTGTTTTTCAGGACCTTTACTGGTTTTCTTCTGTTGGTCACTGCACATCCTTTTGAATTTTCTTCTTTTTCCTATAAACATGCTCAGTTTTCCCCATGCTCAGAAAATGATTAGCTCCATACCTGGCTAAATGTCCTTAGGCTAGCATTTGCCTTCAATTTTACTGACACACACCTTAAAACGAGCCTCATTTACTCCCTACCTATGTTCTTTGTGGTCTCGCTTCTGAAATGTACTTGTAGACATCCCCTGAGACCTGAGGCCTAGCACAGCAATTTTTCTTCCCTCTTTCTCCTTTTCAGAGCTCTTCTACCACTTCGCTGCTATATGGTAACAGTTATTTGCCGAAGTCTCAATAGCCCAGACTTCTGGCTGTAAACACCAGACCTCCACACAAATACTCTTAAGCATCAGGGGGAAAATGTTGAAGTATCTGGGATAGTTCATGGAGCCTAAGAGGCTACTACCATTTCTGCTCTGCTCAGGGGTGGTCTGGAGCCAGAATGCCCTTGCTTCCCATTCTTTCTATCTCTGCTGCCTACTCTGTGCTTTTTCATTGCAGACCAGCTTTCTGTTTTCTCCTGTCTCTTGGTAGAAACAGAACTTGATTTTTATGTGTTTCAGGTCTAACCATGTGGAAATCAGACTTTATCCCAAAATTTTTATAGAAAGATGCTTACAAGGTGGGGCATTACACAGTGATGGGGGTTGGTCACATTAGTAGAAACCTTGCAGTTCTCCTTACAACTCAGCCTGGAGGAGTTTGGGGTGGAGTGGGGGGGTACTGTTTCTTGGCAGAGAACCCATTCTGTGGTCACCTTAGAAGTATTCCCTTTTTTTGGTCTTTGTGCTTACTTGGACCACCTTCCTGAGCTCTTCCCTTGCCTATCATGATATCTCCTACTGTAAACCTAGCCAGCATCTATGGTTCTGTCCTTGGGTGTCTTCTCACTCCTTCACCTCCAAGTATGCTGTCTTTGATGTTGACTCTCAGATCCTGTCTCTGCCTCTGGCTACTCCATGCTACATCAAACCTCCCTGCTCTTAGCTCATGCCATCTCCTCTGCCTGGTATGCTGCTCCACCTCTCTGTTACCACCTACTGACATCCTCCCCAGTTTTCAGCACCTGCCTCTTTGATGAAGCCTTTCTGAGTTCCTCAGTCATACTTGATGGTTCCTCTTGTCTTCAGTGCTTGTCCTCATCTTAAATGCTTGTTACCTATGCTCTTGTGTTGGAATACAGTCACTTCTATACTGTGACTTAGGGTTTTTTTTTTTGTTTTTTTTTTTTTACTTCCAAGTGATCAGGTTATTAATCTAGGAGTCTTCTCTTATTTATCTTTATATATTTTTTTTAGTTTTACATTATCTAGCATGTTTGTGGTGGGCATGCAGTTAATATTTGTTAAGTTGGATTTATTATTAACAGGTTCTGAAATTATTTTATTTAAAAAAACTTGAGCTAGGTGTAGTGGTACATGCCTGCTCAAGTGACTCAGGAGGCAGAGGCAGGAGGATCGCAAGTTCAAGACCAAGTTCAGCAATTTAGTGAGAATCTGTCTCAAAGTGAAAAATAAAAAAGGGGTGGGGACGTAGCTCAGTAGTTGAGCATCCCTAGGTTCAATCCCCAATATTACACACACACATAAAAAGAAGCTTGCTTCTGCCTAAAAGAAATCAGATTTTGAGTAAATAACTCAACCTTTTTAAAGTTATGAAAGTCTTATTATAAGAAATATCAGCCGGGCGCTGCAGTGCATGCCTGTAATCCCAACGGCTCAGGAAGCTGAGTCAGGAGGTTTGTGAGTTCAAAGCCAGCCTTAGCAACTTAGCAAGGCCTAAGCAGCTCAGCGAGATCCTGTCTCTAAATAAAATGTAAAAAAGGGCTGGGGATGTGGATCAGTGGTAAAGTACCCCTGGGTTCAATCCTGGTATTAAATAAAAGAAAAAAAAAAGTAAACAAAATACAAAAATGCAAAAATACAGAAAAAAATACAAAAATGCAGAAAAACAAAGATAAGCCAGGCATGATGGTGCACACTTGCCTATAAAACCAGCTATTCTGGTGGCTGAGGCAGCAGGATTGCAATTTTAAGGTCAATCTGTGCAAGATTGTGAGACCCTGTCTCAAAAAAGAAACGACAGGGGATGTAGCTCAGTGGTAGAGCACTCCTGAATTCAATACCCTGTTCTGAAAAACAAACAAAACCGAAAAATGAAAATAAAAAGTACTCATAATCTTACCACATGGGCCTTGTTAACATTTAGGTGTCTATCACTGGAATATAGTTATAAATCATGATTTGTATTTAGTTGTGCATAATTGTTCATAATTAAGCATGTCATTACCACTGAGCTAAGTCCCTGGCCCCAAGCATTTTTAATATAGGTTAAGAATAAGAATAAATCCTGTTGCCTTTTTTTTTTTGTCAGTACTGGAGATTGAACTCAGGGCCTTGTGCCTGCTGGGCAAGTGCTATACCACTGAACTTCATCCCTAGCCTCTGTTGCATATCTTTGAATTTTGTTTTGAGGGCTTCTGATTTGTAGTATTTTTTATTTGGTAAATGTGAGATTGATGTGGAATCATGCAGTTCACACAGTGTTTTGGGAAGATTTGTCTTTTAAATTTAACCCACCTGGTTAAATTATAAATCTATGCCTCTTGTAGTTCTCCCCCTGCCTCCTTGTCTTGATCTGGCAGAACATCATGCCAAGTCATGAACCCCAGGCACACGCTATGAGGAGAGGTGGAGATCACCTCACCCATCTGCCTCTGCTCACGGAGGAAGTGGAGGTCTGCAGGGGGAAGGGCTTTCATTTTAGCTGTAAATTAGAGAACCAGTTATAAGCCATCATTCTGGAATGGGGAGTAAATCTTTCTGTAAAGGAAAGGTTAAATCTCAATTGAATATTCAGGGCTTTTAAGATCAGAAACAGTTCAGGGATTTCTGAGCCATGTCCACCTTCCATTCTAATCCTTGTATCCTGTATCGTTATTGTTTTAGATAAGAGCTGCCCTTGAGGACATGATCCCATACTCTGGGCAAAGAAGTAGAGGAATTCATTTAGGAAACATGAGTCCAGTAACCTGCCATTGCCCTGTCTCTCCCAGGTCTCTGGGGAGTAGCAGTGTAGTTGAAACTTTGGCTTGAAACTAAGGTAGCAAGGCCATTTAGGTTTGAATTCAAGCTCTGGCCAAAGGCAAGGTTTAAGTGCTAGTTTTTAAAGCAGAATAATTTGCTCAAGGTACAACAAAATAAGGGAATAGTTCACACATAGGCTGATCTGCGACTTAATCTTTCTGCTCCAGTGCCTCTTCATGTTGCTTCTTTAAAATGAAGGAGTCCAAGTTCCCTACTAGCTCTGGAGGGTGATCACCAAGTCTCTCCTCTGTTTCCATGTCCTTTACCTCTCTGGTTAATTGGCTTTTATGGGTTGGGGGTGGCGATTGCAGTCACCGGAAGAAGAGAATGCGACAGCTGCAGAAGAAAATTAAGAATGGGACCTTGAACATAAAGCAAGATGACCCCTTTGAGCTCTTTGTAGCGGCCACAAACATTCGCTATTGCTACTACAATGAGACCCACAAGATCTTGGGCAATACCTTCGGCATGTTTGTCCTCCAGGTGAGTGACTTCCTCCAGCCTGTGTATTGCTTCCACACTGAGAACTGATATATGATAACAACAGGTTCTTACCCCCGATATACCAAGCATTATTAATGGAAGACTTGGCCACTTTGCCAAGGAAACCAGATCACTAACCCTATAAAACAAAGAATTTTCTGCTTAAGTTAGCAGCTGTCTGGAGACCCCAGAACTTACAATGATGTGCCAGCTAGGTGATCCTAAATTAAAGCTAATAAAGCAAGCACGGGGAACTTTGACTGACCCTGGAACCTCAGATCCTTATGGGCACGCATGGAGACTTCCCTGACCCATGAACAGTGCAGCTTGTTTAACCAGCTGGATAGAAAAGTTTGCATCCACTTGTGTTGGCTCCTGAGTGTTTGGTAGCATAACCCCACATACCCTAAAATCCCTTGCTTCACCCCAGAAAGCTGCTTGGTGAATTTATCCACAAATATACATTCTCTTATCGGGAAAGTTAATAGACTTAAGTTTCTCATGTTTCTTTCTTTTTATTTCTGGTGGGTATTTGTTTTAGTCTGTGATTTTTAAAAAATCCACAACAACCCCTTTCTAAAAAAATTTTCATACACAAATTCATGTTTTTAAAAAATATTTATTTTTTATTTATTTATTTTAGTTGTTGTTGAACACAATACATTTATTTTTATTTATTTATTTTTATGTGGTGCTGAGGATCGAACCCAGGTCCTCGAACATGATAGGTGAGCGTTCTACCGCTGAGCCACAACTCCCGCCCCAAATTCATATGTTTTTGTACTTATTATGTTATGCACTTTGATCATGATTATGTAAATTATAAATCATAGTTAAGAGAATATAAATTAAGAAATGGGGAAATCAAGAACAGAAGTTCTGTTTTCCTTGCATTCCAGTGGGTTGTTTAATACACTGCTCACTAGAAAAGAGCCTCAGCCTCCTTTGTCTTTATCACTAATTTGTCAGGAGTGTTGTGCTCCCAGCCATTACCTGGTGCTGGAATGAGGGCTTCTTTAAGCATTAGCTCCCCCGTGTGGTGCAGTTGAGTTTTGCCAAACAACTTCCATCTGTAGACATGTTAGAAAATGTAAACATGTTTCTGAAATTTGACTATAAATCAAATGAAGTTTGGAAGACTTACCTCCAGACAGGATTTTATTAGAGATTATTAGAAACTTTTTTTGTGTGTGTGTGGTGCTGGAGATTGAATTCATGGCCCTGTGCGTGTGAGGCAAGCACTCTACCAACTGAGCTGTATCCCCAGCCCTAGAAACATTTTTGACATATAAAACCATGTCTTCCTAACCCTAAGGACCAGACTCTCTTCCATGGTGCCCCTAAGGGGTTGTGAGTGTGTTATGTGTTTCTTGGTGAGCCAGAGTGGGGGGGGTATATGGTCTTGGGTTTCTACCTGAAGCCCAGATTTTGGCTTATCACCTGGCCTTTGGTTAAGTATCTCTGGGGTGCTGTTTGCATTACCAACCCTCTAAGGTCTCCTTGTAGGATTTTGAAGCCTTAACTCCAAACTTGTTGGCCAGGACTGTAGAAACAGTGGAAGGTGGCGGACTGGTGGTTATCCTGCTCCGGACCATGAATTCACTCAAGCAGTTGTACACGATGACCATGGTAAGGGTCGGGGTTTTTTATTTTTTAAACATAATCGTCGGCGTTCATATCAGTCTGATTTTGCTCTAGTCTGCTGTAAGATTTCCTATTAGAAGGTAGATAGCCTCTGGGAGCTCTTTGACAACAACTAATGAAAAAGTCACTGTAGCTGAATCTCAGGGGCTCTGAGTATGCCTAGAAATGTGAAATTCAGATATGATGCAGACTATATGTAACTAAATATTAAATATTTTTAATATAATAATATAATAATAATTAAATATTCTTAATATAATAGTAATAATAAGCCAGATATGGTGATTTAATCCCAGTGACTTGGTGGGCTGAGGCAGGAGGATTGCGAGTTCAAGACTAGCCTCAGCAATTTAGGGAGGCCCTAAACAACTTGGCAAGACCCTATCTCAAAATAAAAAATAAAAAGGGCTGGGGGTGTGGCTTAGTGGTCAATCCCCAGTATCAAAAATATATATATATATATATTTTTTCCTAGAATAATATTCTGCTAGAGCTTATTTGTGTTTTGCAACAAAGGGACAATTGGCAGAATTCTCTCTGGCCCTCATCTTCTAATAGTTAATGAAGCAACGTTTGCCAGCTTTGCTTCAGTTTGGCAAGAATTTCGAATATGGGAGTGGTAGTTTACTTCCTAAACCATGACTGAGGACATGGTTCAGAGTGGGGTGTGTTTAAAACAGATGGCAGAGCTGGTCTCCTGGCTGGTATTGCCACATTGGTGTTCTTAGAGGCAGTTTCTAAGAGCTGCCCATGACCCAGCAGCTCAAAAATGGTGTCAGAATTGGCCTCTGGGTTGAATGAGCTATGTTTTTCTGGTGAGATGGACTTTCCTCAAATCTTGAGGCTGCTTCCTGCGTTTATCACTCCTGCTGTCACTTGCCACTGTAGCCCCTCTTCACACATGACCAGCACACTTTCACCCCTGGGCTTTGCACTTGCTGTTTCCTCTGGCATGTGCTCTTTTGGATTTCATCATGACTCACATCCTTACTGCCTTCAAGTTCCTGTTCCAGTATCTCCCCATGAGTGTGATCTTTCTTCATACTGTTTAGAAGAAGTTGTTCCAGCTGTAACTCTTTAATCTTTATTATTCTTCAAAGTACTTGACAACGACTTTTAGTTACATATTTGTTTTTTTGTCTGTTCTCCTACATTAGTCACTTAACTTGATGGAAGCAGGAACTTAGTTTTGTTTTTTTTTTTTTTAGTTGCAGGTGGACACAATACCTTTATTTTATTTATGTGGTGCTGAGGATTGAACCTAGAGCCTCACACATGTGAGAGGAGCACTCTACCGCTGAGTCCCAGCCCCAGTTTTTTTTTTAGTTGTAGGTGGATATAATACCTTTCTTTATTTAATGTGGTACTGAAAATTGAACCCAGGGCCGCGTCACACGTGCTAGGCAAGCACTGTACCACTGAGCTACAACCCCAGCCCTAGGACTTAGTTTTTCTTATTGTTGTTTTTCTTACTGATATTTTCCCAGATCCTAGAAGAGTGCCTGGCATGTTGTAAGAACTCACTAGATATTTGCACATGACTGAAAGACTTTGTGCCAATAACACTTTGTTTGTTCTTCCTGTTTCTCTTAACATGGCTGACTGCTTACTCTTCCAATCTCAGCTTATCATCTCTGAGAGACCCTCCCTTTCTGCCATATATAAACAGGCCCCTCTCACTGTTATCCCCACACCCTGTATTTCATTTGTAGCATTTGCCAAAATGTGTATGTATTTACTCATTGTCTTCCTCCAACCATTGGACTGTAAATCACATGAGAGCAAAAGTCTTGCTTCATTCATCAGTGTGTACCCAGAAGTCTGGTCCACCTAGTTAGCAGGTATATTTTATTGAGTCAGGGTGCTGGATCAAATGTTGAAAATGTCAGAGATGAGGTGAGGGGAAGTTGATTGGGATTAGAAGCATTGCGTTTGGTGTCTGATCCCAGTTCTAGCAAAGAGCACTTAGCCAGTTCAGCAGAGCAGATGGGAGTGGATTTTCTTTCCCACAGGGTTGCTCATGTCTCCTGTGATAGAACTTTGTATCTGAGCCCTGGGCCTCAGTGTTATTTAGATGACTTTGTTAATGGATGTTGTCTTGCTTTCTTAGGATGTGCATTCCAGGTACAGGACTGAGGCCCATCAGGATGTCGTGGGACGATTTAATGAGAGGTAGGTCTTAAGGATATTTCTCAGTTCCTTCCAGTTGTTGGGAAGCCAAGGTGGGAGAAATATTTTTATCTTGGACCCAACTGAAAGCTTTTGTGTCAGCAGAGGCAGTACAGGCTTCCAAAATGTGCAATTCTTCAGCAGCTGCAGCTGGGAAATGATCTGGGTACAGTGCAAGGGGGTGGAAAGCTGGTGTCGGGGTTTGGGACACCTGGACTCAGTCTTGCTGCTGGCTCTGACCAACCCAGTGGCCTTAGCCACGTTCCTATCCCTCTCTGGCTTTAGCCTACTCATCTTTGAGAGGTTGGGAGCGGTCTATCTGGATCACCATTTCCTGTATTTCACAGAACAGTTGTCTTTTAGAGGGACCTTGTGACAAGAAGACTCTGGCCAGCTGAGTGGGACATGCTGACACTGTTTTTCCATTATGAAGAGTCTCACTTACCTATTCTAGCCTCAGAAAAGTCTTGCAACAGCTGGCACTTGTTTGATTGTTTCCCATTCCCAAATTAATTTTACCATTGAGCCTCCTTGTAGGGACCATCAGTTAACAGCCTGTGTAATACCTTGAGAAACTGGCCTAGATCAGTGTTCCCTTTGGGATTATTGGCAATGTTGGGAGACATTTGGACTGTCTTGACTTTGGGGGTGCTGAGGGAGAGAGCTACTGGCAACAGGTGATTGGAAACCAGGATGCTGCTTAAAAGAAATCATTATCTGGTAAAAATGTCTGTAGTGCTGAGGTTTAGAAATCCTAGCCTTGATGAACCTGGGGCCTCTCTGATTTTAACATCCTCTCATGCTTTGGCTCAGTAGAATAAGGACAGGAGGAGCAGCTGCATGTTACTCAACAGGACAGAAACCTGTGGAAGTATCAGGAAAGGCCCTTTTCTTGTGGCATGGAGGATGTTTGAATTGTGTAGCAAGTTAATTTTTCTGTATATAGGGAATTCAGTGTTGTATTTCTTCAGGGAGCTTTCTTTTCTCCTTATTCATTTGTGTGTGTTGTGTTTCCATGTGTGTTTCCCTGTGTGACTGGTGGCCATATGGGGCTTTTGGAGTAGAGCCACATTAGTGCTAAAGGGCTCCAGATGATAAGAAAAGGACTAGAGGACCTAGCAAAAGCAATCATGGTTGTGCATCTGGGATCTTGGCTTTCTTGATTGCCACATAAAATGTGTTCAGGTGTCTTGTAGAGGAGGCTCTGATTATCTCTTTGCTCTCTAGTTGGGTTCTGGCTTTCTGAGATGTGGGGCCCAGTGATCTTCCTGAAGAAAAGCAACTTGTCCCCTCTTGTGCAGCATTGTCTGCCTCCTCAGCACCTCACCTCAGGACTGCTTTTGTCCCTCAGGTTTATCCTCTCTCTGGCATCTTGTAAGAAGTGCCTTGTCATCGATGACCAGCTCAACATCCTGCCCATCTCCTCCCACATGGCCAGCATCGAGGCCTTACCTCCACAGGCTCCGGTGAGTCTGGGTCCAGGGCTCAGGGATTTGGGGGAGCTGTGATTTCTGTAGTGGCAAACCTCTTCCTCTTTTCTCTGGTAGGATGAGAATCTCAGCCCTTCTGCTCTGGAGCTGCAGGAGTTGAAAGAGAGCTTGCAGGACACCCAGCCTGTGGGTGTGTTGGTGGACTGCTGCAAGACCCTAGACCAGGTGAGTGTGGGTTTAGAACTGCCCTATCCCAGGGTCAATGACACAAGGATAAAACGGTGTGCACAGAGCAGCCACGGCCCACTCAGGATGAGTCAAGACTAGAGACGCCTAGAAGGGCCTTTTTTCTACCTTGTTCCCAGGTGTGCTCCACAGCAGCAGGGCTGTTCTTCATGTCTGGGTTTGCAAAGGAGCTAATTCAGGGAGTGGGGGTCATGGGAGATGGACAGATGAGATTTCCAGAAGAATCTTCTCAGTGCTTTTTCCATGATAGGGTATTTATAATAGCTAAAAACCTGGAAGAACACAGGATGTGTTTAATTTCAGCTGTGTTGGTGGGGTAGAGGTTTTGCTTATGGCTCCTGTAGAATTGAGGAGAGGGGAGCGTGTGAGGCCCCTTGTACTTACTTCATTCCAGTGTGAACCTGATGAGAGCCCCTGGGGTGGCATGAACAGCAGGCTGGGTGGGAACTGCCAGGATGCATTTCTTTGCTCTATGACGTAGCCAGCACTAGTAAACTCAGCTTCTCCAGTGTCTTTCTGCCAGCTGGGCACACCCCAGAGGACTTCAGGTTGCCAGGTGTGTTCAGGATTCTGGTCCAGCCTGAGCCAGATGAGTGGCACAGGCCTCTTAGCATTTGGCTTTGCCTTCAGAATGGAAAACAGCTGCAGTGACCCCGCCTACTGGGGCCTGAGTCCCAAGAGGCTGGTTTTCCTAGTCATCCTGGAAATATAATCACTAGCTCCATAGCTCTGTATGTAGCCCAGGCTGCAGGCTCTAAGCTGCTTTGAACCTTTTCTGGTACCTTCTGTATCACCAATCAGAGGGATGAGAAATAGGATAGAGGAAGGGAGAGAAACTACGGTACTAGTAATAATGTTATAAAAAAGCAAACAGCCAAGCAACACAAACGACATCAGTATGAAAGCGAACACATTGAGAAAACGGTATTTCCACTTGGCAGTCCCACTCTGCAGAGACACTGCTGTTCAGGGTTTATCATGTGTCCTTTGACCTTTCCCTGCACATGTCAATGGATATTTCACTGTATAAGGTGAGAGTGGCTCCTGGTAGACATTTGGGCTGGTTCCAGCTTTTTTTTTGCTATTATAAACAGTATTATCAGGGTACATCTGTGGGCATTGTATCTAGGACATGCTTCTGAAAAAGAAATTGCTGGGTCAGGGGCTGTGGGCATTAGAGTGGGTGTCACACAGTTGACCGAGCTTCCGACAGTATGCAGAAATGCCTTTTGCTCTGCGGCCCGGCCTGCACTGAGTGCAGCTAAACTTGTCAGTTTTCACCAGTCTCATGGGAACTTCTGATGGTTGCTTTAATTGTTACTGTTATTATGAGGGAGACAGGTACTTTCTTCGTCTAATCATAGGTCACCTCTTTTTGAGGTGAACCAGTTTGCTTGTGACTGCCCATTTGTTAATTGGATTGTTGTCTTTTGTCTGTGTGTGTGTGGGTTTTTCATTTTAGAGTGTGTTTTTAGTCCAGTTAGGTTTAGTCAGCGTTCACAGGTTGCCTAAAGTAAAACAAAAGATACAGTATTTAGCAAGGGCCAGGTTAAGACAACTAGTACCTGGATCCCCATTGAGCATTGCCATCTGGAGAGACTCTGGCTTCCTGAAGCTGCTCCCTTCCACCCTGTCAGCCTCCTTGCTGGTCCTAGAGAAACCAAGCTGCACTTCCACCTCAGGCCTAAACAATTTGTTGATCCCTCTGCTAAAGTACTCGCCCTAAGAGAGACACAGGGCTACTTCCTCAACTTCCTGAAGCTGCTCCATTTCCTCTCTGTCCATCTGTCCATCTATCTGCTCAGGCCTGCATCTCTTTAGTGTTTTCCTAGTTTGCTGCCTTAATGAGCGAGACTGCTTCCTAGAAGTGGACAGGCCAGGCTGACCATGCACCCCGCTTTGCAGCTGGGAATCCAAGTTTGCGGTAGTGTCACCTCTCTTCAGTGCCCCTGGCATCTTGCTTCCCCTCTAGGTGCGAGGCCTTCCTAGATGCTGGGCTTAAGAGTTAATGAGGGACACCTGCTTCTTGGAGTGTGCCTTCTAATGGATGAGACGGGCCCTGCTTAAATGAAATTAGGAAATTATGGTGTAGTAGAAACTGCTGTGTATAACATAGAAAAAGAAAAGTGGCCAGGAGGGTGGGGGCATGCCAAGATGGGGGTTTTGTGGTTCTAGATACAGTGTTCAGGGTGGCCTCATTCAGGTGACATTTGGATCAAGCCTTGGAGAAGTTGAGGAAGTAGCCCTGTGTCTGTCTTAGGGCGAGTACTTTAGCAGAGGGATCAACAAATGTTTAGGCCTGAGGTGGAGGTGCAGCTTGGTTTCTCTAGGACCAGCAAGGAGGCTGACAGGATGGAAGCCATGTGAGGGGGAGAGAGTGGAGGGCCATGCAGGCCACACGGAAAGGGCTGTGGCACTTACACTGTGAGGGATGGTTGAAGTGGAGGGTTTAAATATAGTCTTGTCTCCCCACAGCATCCAGAGGCATCCCCAGGCTTATTTGTAAAAGGATCCTCTGGTTTGAGCTGCACATGGGCTGTGGTGGAAAGTTGGTGGAACTAGGAAGACCAGTTATATGGCTGCTGTCATAGGGGAGGCAGGACAGGATGGTGGCCGTGAGCAGTGTGGTGGAGGAGGATGGTGAGGGCTGTGTTGAAGGGTTACTGCCTTGCTGACAAGATTTGATGATGAATAAGGGATGGAGGAGAATGCTGAGAATGCTTTTGGCCTAGATAATCAGTTGACTGAGATGAGAAGCTTGTAGTGGAGGAGGTTTGGGGAAACATTAAGCATCAGTTTCAAGTTTGAGGTGTCTGTTGCACAGTGGAGCTGTACAGGAAGTAGTTGCATGTACCCAAGAGTCTGGAGTGTGGGGAAGAGGTCTGGAATGGAGATATGAAATTGTCTTGAGCATCTGATTGGTATTTAAGGCCTTGGCACTGAGAAGAGATCGAGGCAGGGACCATCATACTGAGGACAGCAAATGCACTTCTGGGCCTTGGCTCATGGTCTGACAGGAGACCCAGGAGCTTGCTCTGGGTTGCCCTTAACCAGTGTCAGCTTTGCATCATTGGCTTATGGGTGCCCCGTGCGTTCTCTTGAAGAGCTGCAGTAACTTGTCTTCAGCACAGGGCAAAATGCTTGAGTTGAGTGCCAGCGAACGTTCCCACCCCTTTAGGAGACCAATAAAATGAGCTCCCTGCTTTCGTACTGGGAGCCCTCTTGATAAGTTCTTGTCAGAGTTGTGTCTCCCTAAATGGAAGTCCTAGTTGCCTGTGAGTTTGCTTGCTTGGCTTGATCTCATTTTTGTGATTGTTTTTGGTCAAAATATCCTAGTGTCTGGCATCATGACCCAGGATTGAAAAGTCCAGGTGATGAGCAGTGCTTTTTGGCCTGTAAGAAGTGCCCTGTGCCTTTCTCAACTCACCTGATATGTTTGTTTCTCTTTCTACAGGCCAAAGCCGTCTTGAAATTCATCGAGGGCATCTCGGAGAAGACCCTGAGGAGTACTGTTGCCCTCACTGCTGCCCGTGGACGGGGAAAATCTGCAGCCCTGGGATTGGCTATTGCTGGGGCAGTAGCATTTGGGTAAGGAGTCTGACTCTCCATCTGTAGGACCTCTGAGCTTTGAGGGGATAGTGTGCAGGTTTTGAGGTCAGGAGACTGGCAGAACTGTTAGCTCAGGTTCCCCATTCTCAGCTGGTTCACTGTGATTTCTCAAAGTCTTGGGTGCCTGCCTGGAAACAGCAACAGTTTCCCCCAGGACACCCAGAGGTGCTGTGTGCACACACACCCCACCAGGGCCTTTGTTTTTTGCTGTTTACAGTTGAACAAACACAAAAGCAAAGGATGTGGGGTCAGAAACTTTAAAATTTCAGGGATGAGAATATATGTACTTTACTGACCAAAGTACAAGTTGGATATTTTAATGATCTTGATTATTAGGTCTTATGCCAGGTGCAGTGGTGCACACCTGTAATCCTAGTGACTTAGGAGGGTGAGGCAGAAGGATTGCAAGTTTGAGGCCATCCTTTGCAACTTAGCAAGAACATAACTTGCAAAAGGGTTGGGGGTATAGCTTGGAGGTAGAGCACCCCTGAGTTCAATCCTCAGTACAAAAAGAAAAAGGGGTGGGGAATGGGTATGTGATGTAGTTCTGTGGTAAGGTAGTGCTTGGCACTAGCATGTTTAAAGCCTGGGTTTGACTTCCTCAGTACTAGGAGGGTGGGGGAAAAAGTCTATTTTTGAGGAGTTGCCTTTGAGTATGTTACTTTTTTTCTTTAGTCCTGGGTGGAAGATTTATGCAGTTGCTAATATAATGTGTGCTCCCATGCAGATATGATAATGGACCTAGAATTTTCTTTGTTCTATATGCATAATCTTCCTTGGCCCTCATTTCACCCCTGTGGTCATTTTATAGTTAGGTAAACTGAGGCCCAGGGTGGTCCAGTGACACCCAGGATCTCCCATCAAGTCACTGGGGTAGATTTGGGGCTTAACCTTAGCTCCTGACTTCAGCTCTGTCCTTCCTGCTGCTCCATCCATACCACTCAGCCTCTTGGCCATGAGCTTCCTTTGTACTTAGCTAGGATTCTGGAGGTCATTTGTGGCCTTCACCTGGCCGTGTTTGGAAACCTCAGTGCAGCTAGTGCCGAGTATGAGGCGCATCCTCTTGTCAGGACGCTGGACTGAGGCAGTTTGTTGGTTCTGCACGCTGACAGTTGTCCCCGCAGTGCCTCTTGTGCTTTGCCATTGCAGGTGTTGGTAGTTGAATGTTGCCTTTTGTACCTTGTTAATGTGTTTTCATTGCTTTGGGAAGAAAAATTTCCTCGGGTCTGGAGATACTTTCCTTCTCTGGCAGGTGTCTGCCTTTTTATCCTGCTATTGTCTCTGGTTATCCCCAGAGTGACAGGAGCAAACAAAAATAGTTTTGCGTTTTTAATTTTCTTCAATTTCTTAACAGATCCTCCCTTTTTTTTCTTTCTGTAGGTACTCCAATATTTTTGTTACCTCTCCAAGCCCTGATAATCTCCACACACTGTTTGAATTTGTATTTAAAGGATTTGATGCTCTGCAGTATCAGGTTAGAAATCGGGATAATTTCTTTTGATTTAGTGCTGGTTTTAAATCTAGGTGGTCTTTGTAATGTTTGCTTGCTTTTAATATTGAATTTCTAAAGCTTGTCATTGGTTTGACCTTTTCCCCCTAGGAACATCTGGATTATGAGATTATTCAGTCTCTCAACCCTGAGTTCAGTAAAGCAGTGATCAGAGTGAATGTCTTCCGGGAACACAGGCAGACCATTCAGGTGAGGCTCGTGCTCAGATCCTGGAGGATGTAACGGACTCTCTGAATTTTCTTCCAGGTGTCCTGTGCACGGTGTAATTGTTGTAACAGTATTATATTATGAGAAACTGTTTCCAGATTTCCAGCTTTTTCTAAAGAAGGGCATTAAGTCAACAAATGTGTGTAGTTTGATTGAAAAGTTGTAGTTCTGCCCCACGAGTATGGACTGTGGGATTGAGATTATGCTGATAAGCAAAGAGAATCATTGTTCTGACATCAGTTCTTATTTTGTTTAGTTACTGCAGGTTTTGAAATGGTGCATCTGTACCTAGAACAATGACTTCACTATTTAAAAGAAAAAAAAAAAAACTTTGCAAACTGTGCTCTTTGTGGTTTAGCCAGTGACCTATTTTCTTTTTTAAACAGTATTTTCCCCAAAGCTCCATAAATCTTGGGTGCTCTGTAAACCTGAATGCTCTGCTCTTAGTCCAAAGGCTGCAATTTTGTTCAGTCTCTTAAAGGCATCTGTGTGACAGGCTTATAGAAGGGACCAAGTCTGCCAGACTCTTATCGTAGTGGATTCTATGATTATTTTTGGAGTTGTTGTGGGGGAGGGAAGTGAGCTAGGTGAACTTGGCAGTTTATGTTCTTGAACTTTAGTGCATATCAGAGCATATGATGTGCCTGTTGAGTAGGAGTCTTTGATAAAAGAATCCAGATGATAAACAGTGTCCTGTGTCCATGCCTTTTATACCTGAAGGATCTTAATTTTTCTCATTGGGTCTTTTTCTAGAATCTTCGTTCTACGTACTTCTTCCCACCTTTTTTTTTTTTAATATTTATTTTTTTGGTCATAGGTGGACACAATATCTATTTTTATGTGGTGCTGAGGATCAAACCCAGTGCTTCGCTCTCTACCTCTGAGCCACAACTCTAGCCCCTTCTTCCCAATTTTGCTTGATTTCATTAGCAACAGCAGTCTTTTCTCCTCTCAGCTTTGTGTTGGGGGTGGGGCTGGAGGCAGCTGCAGGCTATGAGAATAAAGAGACCTGTTAAAAAATCGAAAAATGCACTGATCAAGAAGGAAAACATTTCTCTGAAAGACTCTGGCTCAGCCCTTGCTCGCTCTCAGATTTATAATCAAATACTGGGTTCCTTTTGTCTCCAGACTACAGTATGAGTGCAGAGGAGGTGAACCGGCTTGTGAGACCCCGTTTATGTTCCTTTGAGACATTCTTCTTGCTGGAGGAGAAGGCCTTTAGATTAAAGTGTCCATGACCCCTGGGCCGAGTTCTGTGCTTCCATGACATGCTTTTTTAGTTTCTGCCCTTGAAAGTAAAGACATGGGGCCTGTTGAGAATGTGTGTCCTGTTGCCAGAAGTGAGTAGGCTTGTTCTCTCCCTGACCCAGAAGCTTCAGTTAAGCAAACAGTTAATGAGATTGGGATGAAATATTTCAAAGCTGCAGGCAAGTACTAAAATAACACTGAAATATCCAGCGCTGAGATTTTAAGGAATGTTGACATGTTGCTGATTTCATGATTAAGGGTCATTTTTATTTTTGAGAACTTGCACATCAGATGCAGTTGAAGTTCCTCTTGTATCCCTCCCATTTCCTCCTGCCACTCCCTGTAGGTAACGGATTCTGAAATTGGTGCATTTCCTTTCCGTTTCAGTAGTTATTACATAATTCATGTCCATGAACAGTAGTGTACGTACTTGTCCTCCATGGTGCACCTTTCCTTACTCAACATTCACTTTGAAGATTTGTCAGGTTGAAGCTTATAGATCTGATGGATTCATTTTTAAGCACTTCATGAGTAAATTTGTTTCTAGAAGTGGAATCCCTGGGTCTTAGGGTATGCATAGATTTTCAGCTTTCTTCTGAGTTTGTTTCACTAAGTCCTCACCCAATACTGGGTGCTTAACAGCAATTTGTTTTGTCTGTCTCTGTGTGAAATGGTATCCTCTTTATTGTCTGTAGCAGTTCCCCAATTATTCATGAGGTTGAATTATCTTTGAGTATGTTAATTGGCTATTCAGGTTTCCTCTCCTGTAAAATACCTCTTCATGGTGTTTTTAAAACCACTTGGAAAATAGCAGGAAGCCCTGCAGAAACTGAAGGGGTTGTTTGTATGCATAAGGACATGAGTATGTTGGTTAAGAATAGTCCAGAAATTTTCCCACCAGTGTAGGGGGATTGGTGGTCTTACGCGGGGGTGTGTGTGAGGGTGTAGCATCCAGTTTGAGAACCTGAGGTTCACCTTGGGGGTCGAGCTGTGCCACTGGCTCCCTAATCTGAGTCTGGGGAAAAATGGGAAGAGGCATGAAGAGGGAGGGGAAAAGCAGCCACATCTGTCAGCTGTGTAAGCCAGGCTCTTCTGCATAGTTGTCTTACTTCTTTCTAGAGCAGCCATAAGGCAGTAGGTACTTCCTGTTTTACAGAAGAGGAATCTGAGGCCCTGTGACCTGTGCAGGGCCACACAGCTAGTGGCTGAACTGTTGGAACCCAGGCGTCCCACTCCATCCCTGTTCCATTCTTGCTCTGCCAAGTAAATGGAGAGAAGAGAAAGGGAACGGGAGGCGGGATGGAGTGCCTCTGTCTGCAGTTGCCAGTCCTCGCCGCTGAGGCTTTATGGCCATATTCGTAATCTGGACACTCTCTCCCACAGTACATACACCCTGCAGATGCTGTGAAACTGGGCCAGGCTGAACTCGTTGTGATAGATGAAGCTGCCGCCATCCCGCTGCCCCTGGTGAAGAGCCTGCTCGGGCCCTACCTTGTTTTCATGGCATCCACCATCAATGGGTAAGGCACCGTGGGTACGAATGGTTGCTCTCATCTTAGGTTCTTGCAGATCAGGTGGCATGTAATGAACGTGGCCTGGGCCTGCAAACCAAGTCTGAGGCTCCAAGGCTGCTTCATTCTTTTCTCAAACTTGACTTGACCACTTCATAAATTTTTACTCCCCTCTGGTCTGACATTAAGTGAGCAGCATGAAGCTGAAAAATTTCAGAACCTGGGGCTGGAAATGTAGCTCAGCAGTAGAACACTTGCCTAGCACGGGTGAGGCTTTGGGTTCAATCCCCAGCATTGTGCCGCAAAAAAAAAAAAAAAAAAAAAAAGTGCGGGGGTGGGGTGTGGAGACAGAGGTGGGGCTGTAGCTCAGTGACAGAGTGCTGACCTGACATACAAGTCTGAGTTCTGTCTCCAGCCTGCCAAATGAGTGTAGTTACATGTGATGTGCTGGGGAGGCCAAAGCAACACAGCCCTGAGTTCATTAAAAAAAAAAAAAAAAAAAATTGAGGAGTCTATGTGATGGGTGTCTCCTGAATGTGTTTTTTAATAAAGAACACAGATTGAGCTGGATGCTGTGGTGCATGTTTATAATCCCAGCGGCTAGGGGGGCTGAGACGGGAGGATCGCAAATTCAAAGCCCCTCAGCAACTTAGGCCCTATGCAACTTAGACCCTGTCTCAAAGTTAAAAAAAAAAAAAAAGGGGGTGGGTGGGGTGGGGATGTGGCTTAATGGTAAAGCACCCAGGTTCAATTTTGAGGGGAAGGGTACATGCATGTACCTCAAAAAAAGTACATGCATGGGAATATCAAATTATGTCTTAGAATTATGTGAAATAGCAGGTTTATATTGGCATAAGAACTTTTTGAAAATTTGAAATATTCAGCTGATTTGTTATGGAAAAATTAGAAAATAAGCAAGGGAAAAAAATCGGGGGCTGTGGATGTAACTCAGTGGTAGAGCATGTGCTTAGCATCTGTGAAACCCCGGGTTTGATTCCTAGCATCAAAAAGAAAAAGCACCTTAATCCAGCCATCCAAAGATAGCTTTCTTTAGAATTTTACTTTGTTTTCTGTGCATCTATTTTACTTTGGTTTTGAACAAGGAAAACACTTTGTAGTATTATAAATTTGCCTTATGTAACAATACATTAACTCTTTTGAGATCCATAAACATGTATTTTTTTCACATACATATTTTTTGGTTGTAGATGGACTCAATACCTTTATATTTTTTTATGTGGTGAGGATCAAACCCAGTGCCTCTCATGTGCTAGGCAAGTTCTCTACCACTAAGCTACAACTAGAGCCCCAATATGTATTTTCATTAATATCACTATCCACAATGAAAGTATTATGCTGAAAATAGTAAGTAAAATGGATTTTTTACCCTTTTAACAGCTTTGGGATATAATTCGTATACTATATTTACCCATTTAAATTGGTGTTTAGTAAATTCAGAGTTGTGTGACCATGTGTACTACAATCAACTCTAGAACATTTTTATTACTCTAAAAGACATTCTATACATCATTCTCCAATCCCTCTACTCTCTCCAAACCCAGGGAGCCACTCTTTGTAGATTTGCCTATTCTGGATTTTTCATACAAATGTAATAATACGATTTTTTTTTTTTAACTGGGGGTTGAATTTAGGACCATTTTACCACTGAACTGCATCCTTAGCCCTTTTTGTGTTTTATTGAGGCAAAGTCATGCTAAGTTGCTGTGAGTGGTAGGTTGCTGAGGCTGGCCTTGATGCTTGCGAGTCTCTGCCTCAGCCTCCCGAATTGCTGGCATTATAGGCGTGTGCCACCGCATCTGGTTCAATATGTGGTCATGTTTTAGTGGTTGGCCTTTTTACACTCAAGCCAGTGTTTTGCAAGTTCATCCATGTATCATCTGTATCAGCACTCAGTATGGATGTACCAGTTTTATTTATCCATTCATCTGTTGGTACACATTTGAGTCTCTGCCTTTTGACTGTTAGGAGTAATGGCACAATGATCATTCATCTGTAGGTTTCTGTGTGGATGTGTTTTGGGTTCTCTTGGATGTATGCCAAGGAGTGGAATTGCTGGCTCAAATGGTGACTGTGTTTGACCACGTGAGGAACTGCCAGACGGTTTTTCTAAGTAACTGCACCATTTTAAATTCCCACAAATAAGCAGTGCTTGGTAGTCCCCTACCTGAGGTTTTCACTGTGGTCAACTCTAGTCGAAAAATATCAATGGAAAATTAAATAACTTACTAGAGCATATTTTTAAAAAGTTTTATTGTTAATCTCTTATTGTGCCTAGTTTATAAATTCCTTTATTGTAGTTATGTATATTCATGGACCATCTTGGAATATGTTCCCTGAAGATAAGGAGGGTGACTTTATGAGGACTCTAACTCTCCCACGTCCTTGCTAATACTTGTTGTGTCTTGTTGATGACAGGTGTTTCTGGTGGTTGTGAAGTGATATCTCCTGGTTTTTATTTGCTTTACCCTGGTAACTAGTGATGTTAGACATCCTCTGCTTGAGTCCCTTCCTTATCAGATACATGATTTACAAAAGTTTTCTCCCATTTTGAAGGTTTTCCCACTTTATTGATAAACTTTTGTGCACCAAGATTTTTTTTTTTTTTGGTCATGCCAGGGATTGAACTCGGGACCTTACACATGCTAGGCAAGTCCTGCATTACTGAGCTATATCTCCAGCTCTAGTTTTTCAAATTCTGTTGTGCACATGTGTGTACATATATATGCACACATATATGAGATACATGGAATTCCTTTTGAGAGAACTTTGTTATTGTGAAATGGGGAGGAATGAAGCACTTAATCTAGCTTTTTGATCATGATGTGACAGTATTTGAGTAAGCATTTAAACAGTCCTCAGTGCTGTGAAATGATGTAATACTAACAGTGAAATGGAAAACCTGTGGAATAGCATGTGCCCTGAAGTCACACATTCTTGTGACTTAGACAAGAATGAAATGCTCAAAAATGAAGATAGCTTGTTCCATGACCAGATTATAAATGATTTAACATTTTTCCAAGTATTTTGTCAGTTTTATATCACCTTTAAGTGAAAGTAGTGATGAAAAGAATCTCTTGGGTAATGGATTTATCTTGAATTCCAGTGTGTGGGTCAGTCCTGGTTAACTCATGTGTGCTACTTCTAGTAGTGGCTTCCCCCATATTAGTTGACATTTAACTTTGTACTGGTTTCCCTGTGCTAAAGGCTTTAACTTGTGTCATCTTTTAGTCCTTGTTTATTGTACCAGGAACTGAGCCCAGGGGCACTTACCCACTGAGCCACATCCCTAGCTCTTTTGTTTAATTTTATTTGGAGATAGGGTCTCGCTAAATTGCTTAGTGCCTTGCTAAGTTGCTGAGGCTGGCTTTGAACTTTTGATCCTGCCTCAGCCTCCTGAGCTGCTGGGATTACAGGCATGTGCCACTGTACCCAGCCTCAGTCCTTATTTTTTTGATTCAAGACAATTGGCCCAAGTGTGTAGAATAATGTTCTTTGGAGGATGAAGCTAAAAGAGACCCCATTCTTTGCCTGAATGGCTCCGAGCCAGGCCATCAGGCTGCCTTCTGGATGTGTGTGTGCTGTGCTGGAAGTCAGATGAGCAAGACTATCCTTGAGGAGCAAGACCTGGTGTTTCAGCAGGCTGGTCCCACCCCCATCCCCTCAGGGTGGGCTGGGGTCCCCACCCCGCGCCTGACTGCCATGCATTTTTCCTAGCTATGAGGGCACTGGCCGGTCACTGTCCCTCAAGTTAATTCAACAGCTCCGTCAACAGAGTGCCCAGAGCCAGGTCAGCACCACTGCCGAGAACAAGACCACGACGACAGCCAGACTGGCATCAGGTACCCTCGGAACCCTGACAGGGCTCTGAGGTTCACAGCAGGTCCCCTCAGACTCTTGTGCTGCATCCTTGCTTCTCTGTGACCTCTTGGGCAGTTACCAAGCTTTCCTGTCAGAGAGAGATGGGGTCCCCAGGAGGACTTTTCTTTTTCTGGCTATAGCTGTCGGGGGACCACGTGGGAGCCTCACTTGGGCCCTCTGGAAGCTGGACCCTTGTGGTCCCTGTCCTGGCACATGGTTGCATTGACTTAGCAGACCCCTGTGGGGTTGTTCTTGTGACAAGTTGACTATCCACCAGAATAATTTAAAACTACCCCCTTTAAATACTCAAGACTTGGGTGTCTGGGTACCACGTGACAGAGATAAGGGTAGCATTCTTTCTTGCTCTGTTAGTGCATATTTAGTAATCAGTTCTAATGGTGTGTGTGTGACTTGAACAGCACGAACACTGCACGAGGTTTCCCTCCAGGAGTCAATCCGATATGCCCCCGGGGACGCTGTGGAAAAGTGGCTGAATGACTTGCTGTGCCTGGATTGCCTCAACATCACACGAATCGTCTCTGGCTGCCCCTTACCTGAAGCCTGTGAGCTGTATCCTCTGGGCCCCACTGGCCCTGTGAAAGGGAGGGGGGCGGTACAAGAATTAAGAGGTTTGGGGAGAGGTACAAGTTGAACATTCTTGCTGGGTATTGTGTCACTTCTAGTCCCGTGTCCTGACTTGGGAGACTAAGACAGGAGGATTGCTTGAGCCAGCAAACGGTTCAGGGCCAGCCTGGGCAACATAGTGGGACACCGTTTCTCAAAAAATAAAAAAGTTTCTAGATTTCCTCCCTCCTTTCTTCTCCAACCTTGTGTGTGTGCTCTGGATGCTGGGCTCCTCCTCAAAACTGAGGGGAAACCTATACTTCCAGGGTTCCTGTTAGGGCCCTCTGGTTTGTTTTGATTGCTTAACTCCCAGCCAGGTACTATGTTAACAGGGATACCCTCTTCTGCTACCACAAGGCCTCTGAAGTTTTCCTCCAGCGGCTTATGGCCCTCTACGTGGCTTCACATTACAAGGTAACTGCGCTAACCCTGCAGAGAGCTTCCACACGGAGCAGCTGAAACTCCCTTGGCAGTCCTTTTACTTGTCTTTTCATGCCTTTTGTTACCTGGTGGCTCAGGGGACCTTTCCACTGGGACTTTAAATGTCCCAATGGTGGTGAGGTCCCATGGTCTCACTGGAGAAGTTGTATCCCCGGCGTAGTTTGTGTGGTTAGTGTTGGGCTTCTGGCTTTGCCCAGAGTACAGAATTCTTTTTTTTTTTTTTTTTTAAAGTTTTTTTTTTTTATTAGTTGCTCAAAACATTACAATGATCTTGACATATCATACATTTGATTCAAGTGGGATATGAATTCTTTTTTTTTTTTTTCCGTGTGTACAGATTGCAGTATCACATTGGTTTTACAGCCACATTTATACATACAGCCATATTAGTGTCTATTGTATTCTGCTACCCTTCCTATTCCCCCCCTTCCCCTCCCATTACCTCTCTCTACCCACTCTGACACTTTACTCTTTTCTTTTTTTCTTCCTCACACCATCTTATATGTAATTTTGCAGTGGGGGTCTCCTTCCATCTTCCATGCGATTCCCCTTCTCTCTCCCATTCCCATGCATCTCTCATCCCTATTTAATGGTAATCTTCTTCTCATGCTCTTCCTCCCTGCTCTGTTTTGAGTCGCCCCCTTTATATCAAAGAAGACATTCGGCACTTGCTCCTTAGGGATTGGCTAGCTTCATTCAACATAATCTGCTCTAATGCCATCCATTTCCCTGCAAATGCCATGATTTTGTTATTTTTTTGGTGCTGAGTAATATTCCATTGTGTATAAATTCCACATTTTTTTTATCCATTCATTTATTGAAGGGCATCTGGGTTGGTTCCACGGTCTAGCTATTGTGAATTGTGCTGCTATGAACATTGATATAGCTGTGTCCCTGTAATACAGAATTCTTCATGTAGTTCTGAGAGTGGGAGCTGGAGAAGATGGAGAGCTTCGCCTGTTTTTAAAGAACACTTGTATTTCTCACCTGCCTACTAACCTGACAGGTTGAGATACCATCGCACTTACTGTAACCCAACTGGCCTGAGACCAGCTTTGTACTGCTGAACTCTTTTGTTTTTAAGAAGTGAATCTGATGGCTTAGAATATTGGGACCCTTAAAAAATTAATGGGCGGGTTGGGAAGGATACTTTTTGAAGCTCTGCATGGTATTTTTATGGATATTACAGATAGCCTTTAATGGAAAGCTGAAGAGTTAGATTTGATGGTGATTTTTCTTGAAATTGCAGCCTCTGGAGGAAGTTCACTTATTGGCTATGAAATGGTGCTAAATCTCTTATTCCACTCAGTGGCCTCAGCACTGAGAGGGCAGCAGGCTTTGGAGGTTCAGTCCTTCCTAAGCCATCGTAAAGAGTCTCAGCCTATTGTGATGCTAGAAAGGTGCCTGGCTGGGTTCTAGTGCCTAATTGGCTGTGGGGATGGTGGTACTGCCAGTACCCCATGGCTCTAAAGAGGCATTGAGTCTCTTGAGTCAAGGACAAGAGAAGGTAAACATTCCCTGCTGACCTGAGCTTTGTGCTTGTACCTGCAGAACTCTCCCAATGATCTCCAGATGCTCTCTGATGCACCTGCTCATCACCTCTTCTGCCTTTTGCCTCCCGTGCCCCCCACCCAGAATGCCCTTCCCGAAGTGCTTGCGGTTGTCCAGGTACAGAAGCAGAGGCATCCTTGTGGCATTGCCTTGGGGAGCACTTGGACATCAGTGTGGGAGGGGAAGATGCTGACTCCTGGCCTTGAGCCAAGTGACAGGATCTGTTGGGGTAGGTGATCGGGTATTGTTCAGAATTTGGAGCTGTCTCCACTGTCTCCCTCAGGTGTGCCTTGAAGGGGAGATTTCTCGTCAGTCCATCTTGAATAGCCTGTCTCGAGGCAAGAAGGCTTCAGGGGACCTGATTCCATGGACAGTGTCAGAACAGGTAAAGGGCTGTCCCTGGCACATCTGAGCAAAGCTGGTGGTGTTAGGAGATGTTTGTGTTGCTAAGTTACTGCTTTGTGTGTCTTACATAGTTCCAAGATCCAGACTTCGGTGGCCTTTCTGGTGGAAGGGTCGTTCGTATTGCTGTTCACCCGGATTATCAAGGGGTATGTTCACATGCCTTTCGACCCTGGTGTGCTGTTGGCTTTGGTCATGTTGCTGGCAACTGTTTGGGGCAGATGTACTTAGTTGCTTGAATAAGAAGCTGGTTAAAAAGCAAGTGAAGTTCTAGGCTTTGCTCTGGAGATTTTAGCCAGTGCTCGGGGGTAGCCCGGCAGACAGGATGATGGGGTATGCTTCCTCTTGAGAATAGGGAACTTGAACCAGGTTGGCTTTCTGTAAGTACCCTCTGTCACTTGGAAAGGCCCATAAGAAATTAATTGTAGAAACATCCCTGTCAGTGGTATAGTAACAGCCCTGCTTTGGGGCTTGCTAATCTGGAAACCAAATAGCATAGCCAGCCATCCTTGGCCTCAAGTAGCAAATGGGCTGTTCTTGATGGGGTAGACCTTTGTAAGAATTGGGGTGACCCTTCGTTCAGTCTTGAGTCTCGTCTCTAACTGCATTGAGGGATTTCATTGGTACCCTTTATCAAGTGTAGTTTAACCAGGAGTGAAGGCTCTAGAAGTGATGTGGGGACTAGAAGTAGCTTTGCCTAAGAACATCTCTTCCCTTTGCCCATCCCCCATTTGCTCGTAGATGGGCTATGGCAGCCGAGCTCTGCAGCTGCTGCAGATGTACTACGAAGGCAGGTTCCCTTGTCTGGAGGAAAAAGTCCTCGAGACATCCCAAGAAATCCGCACCGTAAACAGTGAGGTGAGTGTGTTTGGGCAGGACACCTGTGCTGGGTGTGGGAGGATAGTTCTTTGGGACTTGAGGGGCACCACTGAGAACTGTGTAGAGGTCTAGGCTCTTCTCTACTTAGGGAGGGGGCTGCTTCTCCAGCCTAGTGCTTGAATGGAGATCCTCAGACCAGTACCATTAATATCACCTGGAAACTTGTTAAAAATGCACATTTGTAGCTGGTGTGGTGCATGCCTGTAATCCCAGTGACTTGGGAGGCTGAGGCAAGAGGATGGCAAGTTCAAGGTCAGTCTCAGCAACTTGGTGACACCCTGTCTAAAAATTAAAAAAATAAAAAGGTGTGTGGGGGGGTGTACTCTGGCGCTGTTGCTTAGTGATAGACCACTCTTGCATTCTCTAGTGGGGGGATTGTGATCCCCACCCCAGATCTGCTGAATTGGACTCTAGTGGTGGCTCCCCAGTCCATCCAGTGTCTGACGTATGGTCAAGTTTGAGAAGCCTTGCTCTGCAGCATCCCCCTTGTTAGATCTCAGACTATGAAAGTTCATCAGTCCTTGCTAAGGATAATAGCAGTTGATTGACAGCTTTTCACATGTACTCATTGGTCTTCATAGTGCCTGTGTGGGAGCTAGGGAAGGGATTTTGTTTAATGTCTGACACAAGACATTTTTTCATTTTTTCAAGGTCCCAGAGCTGTCAGGTGACAGAACCTGGACTGGATCTTCAGAACCCTACCTCTGTGGGTTCTTAATTTTATTAGTTTTTCTCAGCTCTTTTCCTGCCTTCTCGACCCAGAGCAGTGTGATTCCACACATACCTAGGGTTTAGGATACCTGGGAGTGATCACCTGACTCATTGAAATTGTTTGAAAACTGCAGGAACAAAGAAAGAAATGTCTTCTGGTTTAGGTGTGTGGGGTGCTTAAGAATGTCACTAACGCCCTCCCTCTGGGTGGTGTCCTTTCCCTTTGTCTCCCTAGGTCAGCTTGTTGGAGGAAGTTGTCACTCCCCGGAAGGACCTCCCTCCCTTACTCCTCAAACTGAATGAGAGGACCGCTGAGCGCCTGGATTACCTGGGTGTGTCCTATGGCCTGACCCCTAGGCTCCTCAAGTAAGTGCCTACCTATCCTGTTTCCCTGGCATCACCTCGATAGTGAAGGACTTCTGTGGGCCCTGTGTCCTGGGCAGCCAGTGTCTGTATGCCAATTCCCTGTTCCTCCTGGCCCTTGCCACTCCCCAGAGGGTACACATGATGATCTGTTCTCCTTTTTGCAGGTTTTGGAAACGAGCTGGATTTGTTCCCGTCTATTTGAGACAGACCCCGGTGAGTGAGGCATTGGGCAGAGCCTTGGTGAGGAATGAGGTCACCATTGGCAGCAGGTCTGTCCTTGCACAGAGCTCTGGTGTCTACTTATGTGCCCTAAGCAGCTGTCCCTGCTCCTCTGCATAGAGGTAGTATTTTGAGGACACTGAAGGAGCCTCCTCCTTTCGAGGCCATATAATCCTGCATACAAGGGGCATGCCTAGCACATCTAAGCTTTGTGCTTCATTATAGAACAGCAGAGGTACACATGGACTTGTTCATCAGACTGTAGAATCCTATAAACTTGGGGTGGGGTGCCTGAACTTTAGGAGTACAGATGAGCAGTCTTGTATTTCAAGTTGCTATCTGAAGGAGGCACGAAAATATGTGGCTATGACAGAGCTGCTGGATTATTGAGGGCAGATGTGAGAATTAGGGACTTTCAGTTCACTTAAAAATATATTAGCACCTGCAGAGAATTGGGTGGTTTAAAGAGATAAACCATGAAGCTTTTTTTCTAATGGATATAAATGGCAGAAAACTGAACACAAGCTATCTTCAGAGAGTGAGATGTTCCGTGAAGAAATCTAGATTCTAGCATAATCTGGCACCAAGCTGAGGGGCAGCCTTCGTACTGCATCCCCTGGACCTGCACCACTTGACCCTAGAGCTGAAGGAGGCAGTGGGGCTGGAGATGAAGTTTGGAGGGTCACCAGCACAGTCATACTAGAATATAATCCATGAGAGTGAGGATTCTTAAATCTGTTTTGTTCACTCATGGGTTCTCGGCACGTGTTCAGAGAATGGATGAATATTGACGAAGCTACTGGACATAGAAGGGTGTGAGGCCTTGGCTTAATGTGTAGGAGGGGGAGCAGGGAGACGCAGGCTGGGAGACTGAGAAGGAGCGGCCTGATCTGCAGGAGGTCAGGGAGTGTGGTGTTAGAAACTGGGAGTAAGGAGTTTCAAGGAGGGGACTCGGTTGCTGTTTAGAGAGTAAGAGGACAGAATTGACAAGTGGATTTGCCAGCACTGGTGATGGGAATGGGTTGAAGCTTGCCATCTGATTGGAGACAGTGCGGGGGGTGAGGGTGGGGTTGGGGGGGTGAAGGACACAGAACACAAATGGACGTCCTTTTCTGATGCAAAAGGGAGCAAAGAAACAAGGTGGCTAGCGGGAGAGCGGCAGGGAAGGTTTGTCAGGTGGGAGAGTCTCAAAGTTATGCCTGCACCCTGCAGGGATGGTGTCCGTGGTGGCATAGGTGGAGAGGGCTGAGTGCAGGCCTGGAGGTGAGGGGTGGGACTCGAGCAGACGGGCAGCCACTTCATCCCACAGCAGGAAGGCAGGCTGAGTGTGGGTACTGAGGGTGCTGGGCAACATTTAGAAGGATGGATTCTTGGATTGCTTGTTTCCCTAGTGAGGGGAACAGCCGAGGGAGTGTGGGAAGTGTGATTTGGAGCATGCAGAACTGGTACACCCTGGGTCATATAGTGTCCACTTGAGGGTTCAGAGTGGACCTAATGAAGACTGCTGGGTGTTCAGCCACTTGTGTGGGTGCGGAACAGCACATGCATGGGGTATGTCCTTGTCAGTGCACCTGGTTGGGACTGGGTGGATTTGGCCATTGAGGGCAGGAGAGTGCAGGGTGGTAAGCTTCAGCGCAGCCCTGCCTCGCCCTGGTCTTGTGCTGCTTGTGACTTGGTATTTTGTTCCCTGAGTGCTCTTCTATGGCAAGTCACTAGGTATTTTTTGTGCTGTGGAATTTGTTATGTAGTAAAAAAAAAACTTAAACTGTGGTCTCACCATCACTGTGTTAGCCTGAGCTTGCACGCCGACTGCCAGTTTGGGATTGAGGGCTTGGCCCTGGAGTCTGTATTGTAGGGCACCAAAACCACATTGACTGGATCAGGCTGCGTGTAAGCTGTCAGTCCTGAGGTCAGAACCTACACCTTTAGGAAGTTGTGTGCGGGTGATCTCTGAAAGCTTGTGTGGGAACTTAGGTGCTGTGGGGAATGAGGGCGAGGCCCTGCCACCAAGGGTCTCTGCTGGCTGGGGAAGGAGAAGGGGTTGCAGCACAGAGCCCTCCTCTATGTGCTCACCCTTCACCACCAGTGGACCCTTTGGATAAGGGGTTCTCGGTGCCAAGGAGGAACATTTGTCTCCAGAATGACCTGACTGGAGAACACTCGTGCATCATGCTGAAGACTTTGACTGACGAGGACGAGGCTGACCAGGGAGCCTGGCTCTCAGCCTTTTGGAAAGGTAAACGCAGGCGGAGTGGAGAGGGCACAGGGGGTTGAGGAGCCGGGATGCCTGCAGCTCACTAACTCTGCCTGATGGTCCCGCAGATTTCCGAAGGCGATTCCTTGCCTTGTTGTCCTACCAGTTCAGCACCTTCTCTCCTTCCCTGGCTCTGAACATCATTCAGAACAGGCACGCGGGGAAGCCAGCCCAACCTGGTGAGTTGGGTGGGATGGTGGTGGAGAAGGGAGTGTGTGGGTTGTGGAGTGGGGTTGAGGGCCTGGTTCTAACGTCTCCCACCCACACCTCCTTCACCATGACCTCTGGGATATGACTAGACATAAGAGTTATCACAGAAGTTCAGACAGCAGCTAGCTCTGGGGCCTGATTTAAGTCCTGGAATCTAGGGGTAGTGACATTGTACAAGGGGTACATGGCCAATCTGTGGAAGTACTTTGTGCACATTAATTTTGTTTGAATAGTTAATATATTTTTAAAATATTCACATTTTGTTAATAGCTGTTTTGTTTCCAGTTATAGATATACATATGTGTGTATACATAATTTTATATATTTATATAACACGTGTCTATATACTTTTTTTTGCCAATTGCATTTTTAAAGATTTTTTTTATTGTGGATAGACTTTTTTTTTTTAAATATGTGGTGCTGAGAATTGAACCCAGCGCTTCCACACATGCTAGGCAAGTGCACTACTGTTGAGCCCCTGCCCCTTGCCAATTGCATTTTAATGGAAAAAAATCATGAGTCCCTTTGGCTGCACTGGGCAGAGCAGAGCACGTATACTTTCTGTGAGGCTGGATTCTGAGGAACAGTGATGGTGGGAGAAGGGTGGTGTTGTGTCCCTTTGACCTTAGGGCTCAGGAAGCCTTTCCTGGACTGGGTATTGGTGTGGGGACTCTGTCCAAGTCACATGCCAGTTGTCCCTCTGCCTGGCGTGGAACTGCCCCCTCCTTTGGGAGGAGTCTGTGCACAGTCAGCTCAGGTTGTGTTGGGTCGGTGGCCAGGCACTTGTAGGTGGGTGCTGCATGTGCGGGTGCCATCCCTTGGCTCCTGGAGTCCTGGCCATCTGACTTTTATCACCCCTGCAGCCCTAGGCCGAGGGGAGCTGGAGGCACTCTTCCTCCCCTATGACCTGAAGCGACTAGAGATGTATTCACGGAACATGGTTGACTATCACCTCATCATGGACCTGATCCCGGCCATCTCCCGCTTGTATTTCCTGAACCAACTGGGGGACCTGGCCTTGTCTGCTGCCCAGTCGGTAGGTTACTGGTGCTCATGTGGGGGCAGAGCAGGGAGGGCTGTGGAGGTATCTATGTGCCGGGCATTGGGTTGGGCTCTTTGACATAGATTGACATAGCTGATAGGTAGGTCTCGGCCTTATCCTACAGGTCTAGGGTTAAACGCTGTACCCAGCTGTACATTTAGTAAGTGGTCAGTAGCACTTGAGTCCACGTTCTTCCCCCCCAACACGTTGCTTTGATGCTTAATTCTGCCTTACCAGAAGCCCAGGAAACCCCAGGCATGTAATGCAGTCCTGAAGCAGGTGTTTGTCAAGATAATAAAAATGAGATTGGGGATTTCAGGAGGGAGTGTTTCTTGATGGTTTCAGTGACAAGATGAAAGAGATGCCAGAATAAACAACGTGGGCCTGTGACTTCTACCAGATAGGTTTGATTAAAAGGAGGATAGCTGGTTCTCGGGGCCATTTTAATGGGTCAGGGCCCATCCTGGAGGCAACTCCAGCTGTATTTTTATCTTCTAGGCTCTTCTCTTGGGGATTGGCCTACAGCATAAGTCTGTGGACCAGCTGGAAAAGGAGATTGAGCTGCCCTCTGGCCAATTAATGGGACTTTTCAACCGGATCATCCGCAAAGTGGTAAAGGTAATCTCGGCCTGAGAAGAGTTTGGTCTTTACAATAATATGACAAATCCACTCCCTGCCCTGTGTCTGAATGACTGTTAACGGGTGGTAGTATTTGCTGCAAATCTACACAAACGCGCACACACATACACACACACACACACACACACACAGACGTAGACGTTTGGGACATTGGCTGAATCTCTTAAAGTTCTGGGTTCTCTCCTGGGGTCCATTTTGCGTGTCTCCCCATTGTGTTTGTATGCTCCGAGTGCTCCTGAACTCTAGAGCACAGCTCTGCATCTTGGAGATGTACCTTTAAGACACTAAATGCCTGGGTAATGAGTGACTGAGTTCCTGTTGCTTTGTCACCTTCTCCACATTGTCTTTTGTAGCTGTTTAATGAGGTGCAAGAAAAGGCCATTGAAGAGCAGATGGTGGCAGTGAAGGATGTGGTCATGGAGCCCACGATGAAGACCCTGAGTGATGACTTGGTATGTCCCTGCTCAGGGCTTCAGAGTCCAGAGTTTGTTCTCGTCAGTGTGGCCTGTGATTGTGGAATATCTTCCCCATCCCCTCGTCGAGTCCCTGTGCTGTCTAAGCCAAGTAACACTCTGCAGGTCTGAGCCTGCGTCTTTGTTGCACATGGGCCTAGTGGTACCTCCTGCCGAGTGTGTGGAAGGATAGGAACCCAGCATCTACTGGTGTAACTGTTCTGTCCTTTGGGGTACTCTCTGCTCCTGTGTATTGTTCATCCCTTGACTCTGGGTCCTTGACCACAGGATGAAGCAGCAAAGGAATTCCAGGAGAAACACAAGAAAGAAGTGGGGAAGCTGAAGAACATGGACCTCTCTCAGTAAGGCCCCTCTTGTTTAAGGGAAGGGAAGGGTCAGCTTTAGGGCCTGCATCCTTCTGCAGGTCTCTCCTCAGCCACAACCTTGGTGCCCTGGAAGCTGGTTCAGGGAACCAGTTTCAGGAGCCTAACAGCTAGAGAACCCTGAAGAATTGAGACTGAAGTTTCAGAGGAATTGGTTTTCCCAGATCCCTTCAAGTTGCACTCACTAGGTCCCTGGAGTTCTGTGTCATGCCTCAGAGGCCCCTCTCGGAAGAGGGGATGGTAAGCAGATGAGCACCTACTTTTTAGGGGTCACATCTGTGCATTTGACTCTTCGTGTGAATTTGTTTGAAGAAAGTATTCTGTTTCCCCAAATCGAAATTCCCTGCGCGATAGCCTTCTGTGCTGGGCATCTTGTTCTCTTTTGAGCTTCATCTGCAGTGTCCTCTTTACCTCTACACCTGAAGGTCAATGGATTTGACAGTCCCTGCATGTCAGGACTGATACCTCTAGAATTAATGACCTGTGACCCTTTGTGCTGTGTTGTCTGTGACCTGGTCATGAGTGATGTGGTTGGTGTGAGTTGGGGTGGCCAGGATTCCCAGGTCAGTGTATTGAGTGCAGTTTCTGCCCTCCCCTTTGCCGGATTAACACTCTTGATGTTCCAGGACTATTGGATCCAAAAGAGGTGGGTCAGGGCGGAAGGCGGAGCTCTGGGCAGACGCCTGCAGGTGGGAACGAGGAACGGGATTGCAGGGGCCAGTGGCTGTTCTGGGCAGTTGATGAGAGTCTCGTGAGAAGCCAGCAGGCTGCCTTCCATGTGGGACTGTCCTCTCACTGGCGCCTGATGGCAGGCCTTGCCACCTCTGTTGTTATGATACTTCTGTCCTGTGGAGTGAAGCTGCACGACTCAGCCCAGCCGCGTGCCTGTCCTTTTCCCTCTGTTCTTCAGACCTTAACATGGTTCATCCTGGCTTTCACGGCAGGAGCTGAGAGTGTTGTCACTGATCTGTTTTCTTTTAAGAGTCCTCTCCTCTCTGTCAGGTTTTGACATTTCCCCTCTTTTTGTAGGTACATAATCCGTGGGGATGATGAAGAGTGGAATGAAGTTTTGAACAAAGCTGGGCAGAATGCCTCGATCGTCAGCCTGAAGAGGTGAGGGTACAAGTGTCGCGTTCCATGACTGAACACTCAGGGTTCCTCCAGGTGAACTGGGCGGCACAAAGTAATCGTGCAGAGATGGAGAAATACCTTTTTCTTTGGGTCCTGTGACGGCTCCTCTGACCTTAGGGGTCTGTAGAAAAAGAGCGAGGAGCACGTGCTGAACCCTTCTATTGGAGAAGCCATTCAAATGAGGCAAGGAGTCAGGTTTCAGGGGGTTGAATCTAGGTTCCTGATTTCTGCTGTCAGCAGGTTGGCTGACATCTAAATAGGCCATGCCCATCTCATGAGCTGCGTGGGGATAATGGCAGAGCAAGCGAAAAGACCAGAGCGAGGCCTGCCCAGGCAGAGGGGCAACATCGGTTCAGTCTACTCTGTGCTCAGTGCCTATAGTTTGCTCGCGCGCGCTCTCTCTCTCTCTCTCTCTCTCTCTCTCTCTCTCTCTCTCTCTCTCTCTCTCTCTCTCTCTCTCACACACACACACACAGAGCCTGTGCCTGGCTTTTGCCACATCTCCACATTCTCATCACTCAGGGCTAGGGGGCGCTCGTTTCCTATGTGGCATCTCCTGACTTACAGTCCCACACAATGACAGGAGCCTGGTGTAGATGCTTTGAGACAGAAGCCATGGCTTGTCTTTCTGCTGAGTGTGTGCCAGGGCCCCCTTTGTACAAACCAGGCCGGGCTGTCTCGGCCTGCGTCTCCTCCCTCCTTGGGTACACCAGCATGGCTGGGGGCGTCGCACTGCCACTGGCTGAGGCTGACTAGGCTTCAGTGCCACCGTCTGCCACAGAACAGCAGCATGAGGGTTGTTTTATTATCTTCATTACTTTAATGATGAAAAATGAAGTCTCTGTGTAGGTGACTTCCCAAGAAGCACCCAGCTAGTGAGGTACAGAGCCAGATTTGGGACCAGGTGTGTCCATTGCCAAAACTAAGTTTGAGCTGCCACCCCATCCTTCCTCAAAACTAGCAGTTCTCAAAATTTGGGTCTTAGAATTCCTTTCTGTCTTTAAAAAGAATGAGAACCTTTGCCCATGTGGGTATACTAGCTGTTGCTTCTCATACTAAGAGTTAAAAACTGAGAAACTTTAAAAATATCTAGCAATTTGAAATTAACAATGGACTCATTGTGAGTTTTTGTTTTATTATGTGCTGGGATTGAACCCAGGACCTGGCATATGCTATGCAAGTGTTCTACCACTGAGCTGCACTCTCGACCCTCATTTGGTTTCTTGTTTTGAAAAGTATATATTTTTTTTCTTTCACCAAAATCTGTGAAACAAATCTGGGCCCAACATGACTCTGATAGCAATGCTTGTTCCTCCTGTTCGGCACATTTACTCTGTTGTGCTGTTTTTAGTGCTCTCTGGAAAACTGAACATTTGTGAGAGAATGAAACCAAAAAGCAAATGATGTTATCATGAAAATAGTTCTGAGCTCTAGACTTTCCCAGTGGTCCCTCAGCTGCTCTTGAAAACCTTCACTCCAGGCTTCATCTGCCAAGTGCTGTGTTTGCCATCGACAGCATGGATGCTTGACCTGGAATCTTCTAAGTTTCCCTTAGGAATAGCATGAGGCCCCCTCTGCTCAGGGTCTTGCCAGATGAGACTGGAACTGCTGGTTTGGGGTCAGTGGGGAGGGTGAATTCTTTTTTTTTTTTTTTTTTTTTTTTTAATGTCACTAAAGATTTAACCCAGGGGATACTTCACTGTTAAGCTACATTCCTGGACTCTCTATTTTTTTTTGAGACAGGGCCTTTCTTAGTTGCTTAGGACCTCACTAAATTGCTGAGACTGGCCTTGAATTTATGATTCTCCTGTCTTAGCCTCCCAAACCACTGGGATTACATGGTGCGCTACAGTGCCCAGCAAGGGTGAATTCTTGGCATTGCTGTGGTTACTGATGGGGTTTCCTTAAAGAGTTTATATTTTGGGGCTGGGGTATAGCTTGGTGATAGAGCACTTGCTATCATGCATGAGGCCCTGGGTTCAGTTCCCAGCACTGTAAAAAGAAAAAGAAAAAAAAAATGAGTTAGAAGCATTTTGAAAGGAGGACTGTGGACTTCATGTAATGTTAATGGTGTCTGGGCTGAACTGCTTGTTGTTCTCATCTATTCCCAGAGCAAAATGCAGGAGAGGACAATTTACCTCTGAGGCTTCCTCCCTGGAGAGGCGGCCATCAGCAGGCACCAAGGGGCCAGCTGCAAGGTGGAGCCCAGTGGTTTCCCCTTTGGGTTTCCTTCTACTTAGGAAAAATTAAGTAACAGCAGCACATCAGAAATGATGGTGGGCTTTCCTTGGAGTCTTGTGCTTTGCTTTTTTTTTTTTTTTTTGAGAGAGAGAATTTTTTAATATTTATTTTTTAGTTTTCGGCGGACACAACATCTTTGTTATGTGGTGCTGAGGATCGAACCCAGGCCGCATGCGTGCCAGGCGAGCACGCTACCACTTGAGCCACATCCCCAGCCTGAGTCTTGTGCTTTGTGTTAAGAACTGTCTTTGGAATCATGGGGATGATTTGTCTGGTTTCCATGGTAACCTGGATGGTAGGAGGGGATCTCCCTTGCACCTTAGATGTTTCTTAAGGTGAGGTCTTGGAGGGGAGGAGGTGCAGCACCCTGAAGAGAACCTAGAGTTCTGGTTTTAAGATATAGATTGGGTCCTCCACAGACTCAAAGCTCAGTTGGGGTAGGTGCTGAGGTCTGTGTGGCATATCTTGGGCCCCCAGCGTGACACCTGTCCTCTCTTCCCATGGGTTAGCAGAGAACATTCTGTCTGATGGGGTGTTGTTGCGTCAAGTTGCAGACGGCAGAGACCATTTTTCAGACAAAGCAGATATAGGTGTTTCAGGTCTGTGCTGTTTCATTGTTTCTTTCTATTTCTGGTGTGTTTTTTCCTTCAGTGACAAGAAAAGGAAGTTGGAAACCAAACAAGAACCTAAACAGAACAAGAAGTTGAAGAAAAACAGAGATCTAAAGAACAAAAAAGATATGAAACTGAAGCGGAAGAAATAGTGAAGAAAAACTTGGGTCTCAATGGCCGCCTGTGAGGAGGTACCTGACTTCCTAAGCCATCTCTGGGTGGCAGCCTGGACGATTAGAAACAATTGGGGTCCCAACAAACGCACAGGTGGGCTGTGATGAAGTCTGTAGGCCTGACTGTGCCCCTCTGTGGGCCCTACTGACTGAAGACCAAGTGACTCCCACACGCTTCTGCTTCCAGCGTGGTGGCTGGGCCGCCTCTGCACCACTAGGAGTGTGTCTCTCTCGGCCTCCATCCTGGCCCTCCTTTCCCATAGGTTTGGATTTCACTGTGGCCAGCTTCTCGGCCTGGTTCCCACATGTGGGAAAGCCATGCTGACTGTCCCTTCCCAGGCCCTTAAGTATTCAACTTCCTGGTGACGTTCAGGAGGATGCTCGGTGGCTGCTGGGTCTCATCTTGGACTGTCCCAGTGCCCTGAGACTCTAGTGCACCCAGTGGCCGCTGTTGTGTGCACCAGGGTTTGTGGATGCCATATCCTGTTCCACTCCTGGCTTAGGCTTGTTGCCCTCAAGAGTCTCAGAAGAGCCCGAGCCTTTAATTTAAGTCGTATGTGACATCTGAGTCCTCAAGACCTGTTATATCATCATTTGGGAAAAAATGTTGGGCAAGGCCCTTTTGCTAGCAGGGTTGAGGGGAGGGATAGAGAATCTATTTTTAATAAATAACATCCTAGCAAGACTATTTGCCTGTGGATGCTTCTGAAATTCATGTCTCTGAATTTGCTTCTTACCCTGTTTGTTACCCCTGTGGATCTGGGCTGCTGGGTAGAATTTGGAGGGTTTGGTGTCGAGGCTAAAGATGGGCAGCGTGCTCGAGCTCCCAGCCCAGGAGCCTGTGGGAGAAGCGGCAGGTACTGAGAATGGTGGTGTGGGGCCAGGAGTCGGCTAGCTGGGCCTCCTTTCCTTCCTAGCTCCTGTTAGGTTTTTTTGGTCCATCCTGTTTGGAGACAGAAATTATCTGGTGGCTTCACAAATACACTGGTGTGTGTCTGGTTTACACTGTAACCCGAGTGATGGAGGCTTGTTTAGGCCAAGTCCAACTTACCTTGCTCCACTCTGGATGTAACCTGGGCTGGTAGAAGTCTAATGGAAGGGTGGTGGCTGGATGCAAGGGTATTAATTAAATTCACGACTCCTGGGACTCTTCCCAGTGGGGGAAGTGCAAGCTTCCATGCCTTTTCTTAGGACTGCTGTGACTCCTGTCTGGGACAATGGGGCCCTGGGTGAGGGGGCCTTTGTTTCCTGGATCTGCTGTTTCCTGCTGCAGACCTTGTGTTGGGACTTCAGGAAGGTCTGCTTAAAGGACACGGGAAGGTAACTTCATCTGTTTCTTCAGGTGGGTGCCTGAGCCTGCCTGCCTTAGCAAAGTGTGGTCCCAAAGCAGAGTGAGCGCTGGGTGGCCAGAGGATGGTTTAAATTACTGAGCACATCATCTGCCAGGTAAGGAGGCCCTTGTTGAGACTCTCCAGCCCTGCAGCCTGTCCAGCTGGCTCTGCTCTGGGGTACAAGGTGAGAGGCTCTGAGCCAGGTGCCCATAAATGCTGCCCTGACCCTCACGGAGACCTTGGGCACTTATGGTTCAAATGTTCACACCAAATTTGCATTGAAATTTTAATCTCCATGGTGAGAGATGAAGAGGTGCCATTGTAAGAGAAGATTGAGTCAGGAAGGCTCTGTTCTGTGAAGGGACTGTTATTAAAGTCATCCTGTCCCACAGATGAGCCCACTCGCTGTGCGATGCCCTGTGCTTCCTCAGGCTCCCTAGGGTCTCCACAGCAAGCAGGCCCTCATCAGATGTGGCCCCTCAACCTGGACTTCTCAGCCTTCAGAACTGTAAGAGAAACTTACTTTCTTTATAAGCTACCCAGTTTCAGGTATTTAGTATCAGCAACAGAAAGTGGACATATGACCTCACTCTGTGTGCATTCCAGGTTCATGTGTCACGTGTGAGTGGTATGCTAGAAACCACCTCCCAGCTGAGGGGACCAGTCGCGGGAGTAGATGGGGAAGAGCTTAGCACTGTATAACTGGCACGGCGAGTGCCAATACCCAGATCTAACTAGGGGAGCTGCTCAGCCACATGCCAGCTCTAAGACAAATGCCTGCTATTTTCTAAGCAGTCCTGAGCTAAAAAAGTCTCATATGGACAGCAGAGCATGCCTGTACCTGGACCTTTGGTTCAGGGTGATAGCTCCATGTCTTGAGATAAGGTGCCTAACTTCTGAAATATCTTCATCCTCTGCAACCAAAAAGGCAGTCAATGTCCCACCAGCTGTGTGGAGTTCTGGCTCTTTTATTTGCAAAGCGAGTGTTCCTAAATGGGTCTCTGTTCTGCAGTCTCTTGAGTTCTCCTTCAAACCTGAAAGGACGAGCCTCCCCCAGACCTCACCATCTGGCCCCCAGACAGTGTCATCTGTAAAGCTCTACTGTTGCGCAGGAGATGTCACTTGTAAAATGAATTCAGATAGGCCATCTCTGAATGCTGTCACGAGGACGAGGAAGAGGCTGAGAAGCCTGAACAAAGGATTCCTGAATAGCCTCCCCCACCCCCAAGCCAGGAGGGGCTTGTGCTAGCCGGCTTCCTGGCTTCCACAGCTCATCTGGTCCTGCCAGTCCCAGGGGACTCAGGAGTGACCAGGAGACACAAAGGGATTGCTGAGGCTGGGAGGTGGGGGAGGGGCAGAAATAAGTGACCGTCACCTTGGAAAAATGTAGGCTCATTATCTAAGGCCTTTACAAACGGTAGGCAGCCTGGGGGCCTGGAGAGGGGTGGCTCCAAGGAAGGCCCTGGGGCCCAGGCTGGGGAGGGGTGATGGAGCTCTTGATTCTGTAAACAACTGGTTAAAACAAGCAGTTTCTGCAAAGGGCTTGAAAGGCCTGGGCTTCCTGGTAGTGTTTTTGGTTGGCTCTGGAGAAAGCTATGACCACCCTGCCTCTGGCATGGGGAACGTCTGGTGGGGAAGGGTAACGGGCAGAGTGCAGAAAGGAAAGTGAAGTATTGGGCGGGGGATGCAGAGGCCACCACCTGGAAGGAAGGTGGCCCAGGGTCGACTCTGGCACCCCTGGTGTCTGGAGAGGGACCTCCTTAGGGGGTGAAGGCCCAGCACCTGCTGTGCAAATGCTGCCCGCTCAGTGCCATGCACTAGAGTGAACTCTGTGTTCTGAACTCATGCTTTCAGCTGGGCACCCTGGGGCTCCTGTCTGGCTGCTAGTAGCCTGAAGCTGGCAGCTGAGAAATGCCCCACCATGATCCTGATCAGTGGCCCTGAATTATAGGGAATCCAGCTGCTGGGGTGAGCAGGTACTTCCCAGCCCCTGAGAAGAAAGTCTTTTTGTTGTTGTTTGTTGTTTTAAACCTTTTGTGTTTCTGCTATACATAGGCTCAGAGGGGCTTTTTAGCCTCCCTACCCCTCTTCTCCCAAAAGAGAACCACTGATCCACCTGGAACCAGAGCATAACTAGACCTTCCTTGCCTTTGAGGCTGGAAGTGGCCCTGCTTGGGGTGGGAGGGTTGGACATAGACTCCTGAAGGGCAGCCCCTCTAGATCACCAGTCTTGGGGAGGGACACCCTCTCCACCACCTTCAGGGCTTTTGTACAAGGTGGTGCTGAGTGTGCTTCCTCCCTGTGGCCCCCAGATGGCGCTGTGTTCTACATGGTGCAGAGCTCCCTCACCCTGCTGGGTCCAGTGCCCAAGCTGGGCCTCAAGCCACCCTGCTTGGCCCCCACCCCAGCAAAGCCAGGAAACAGGCCTTTCCCTGGACTGGGACTGACTGCTGAAGGTCGTCGTTCCCCACTCTGAATCCCGGTGTGTTACTAAACCACAGCCACTCTGGGTCAGGTTCCCAATGACCGGAAGAGTTATTCTTCTAGACTAGGAACATTTAAAAAAAATTTCTGCCTGGAATTTGCACCTAAAACTACAACAGGGCCTAGGAAAACTTTGGTCCTGAGTCACTGGCTTACCATACTCCTCTACTGTCTCTGCCGGGGTCTCTGTACTTGGACAGTCCACTGAGCAGAGTGTACAGGCAGCAGCCCCCACCCCAGGGGCAGGTACCTCTCATCAGGCCAGGCCTGCATGGAGGTACTGTGTGGGCCCAGTTTGCAGATACCCACAGAGCTTCTTCATCCCTTCCGTGGAAGGGCCTGGATCCGGAGGTCAGGAAAGCCCCCATACCTCTCCCATTCCTCAGTCTGGCTCCTGTCCAGTCTGATGCCACATCTGTGCTTAATAAATCATCATCTACCTCATTTTACAGGTGAGAATAACCAAGCCCTAGTGAGGGACAGATCAAGACAGAGGTTCCTGAGGTGAGTGTGGCCACAGCACTGCTTTGGAAGGGGATCCCCCCCCACACACACCCTAACCCGTTCAAACACCCAGAACTGAGTTCCCGGGAGAGACCGGGAACTCAGTTCTGGGTTTTTGAACTGGTCCTTCTGGCCCCTCCCAACCCCTGACAGAGCAACCCTCTACCAGGAGCACTGAGGCCAAAGTTACTGTTAATGAGTTTATTGTTAATAAAACCATGGTACATTTACAATAAGTGACATTAATATACAGTTACTGTATCATACAATATTACAGCAATAAAATAACACCTATTCCTTTGTACATCCAGCTCAAGCAGCTAGTTGAAAATATTTTCTAGGATTGCAAGCCCCAGGGGCTTTTCAGGCTGAGCAAGTGACATCTCCTGAAAATGCCTGGGGCTTTTGATGAATAAATAGTTTCTAAGGTGCAGCCAGGCTCCACCTAGAGCAAGCTGTCTTTGACGTTGCCCCAATGTCTGGTCCATAATAAACAGGCCAGTTTTTGGTCTCTCTCTACCCCAGGAGAGCCCAAAGACTGGGAAGTTGTGGGGGTACTCTGCTGAAGGGCCTCTTCTCCCAGCCCTTCCACCACTGCCCTGTCCTTTTTGCCCAAGAGCCACAATGAGAAGTGGGCCCTCTCTCTAGTCCTGAGTTAAAGAAACCTTTCATTTGAGAGACTCAGCCAGGGAGGACGAGTAGGTGCTGCCGCCTGAGCCAACAGGTAGCCTAGGTCTAGGCCTGAGGTTCCAGAATCCCCCCTTTACTTTGGACCCTAACAACAGCAGCCATAGCTAAGGCCACTGAGCTCTGCCAGCACCCTGGCCTCAGAAGCCATCAGCTGGAATTGTAAGTTAGCAGTCCTAAAAAGAGGGTCTCTGTCGGCCCAGGCTCCAGAGAAAATGGAAGACTCAAAGCAGGCCCCTGTCAAGCCTTTCAAAGGCACAGCCTGAAGGACAGGTGCGGGAATTTGGGCGGCCTTTCCTCTGGACACTTAGGAAAATACCAGCTTTTGCACTGAATGGTCTGGGCTCAGAGGTTACATTCTATACATTCATTAGTATGCCCACCGTCCCAAGAGCCCCAGCTTCGATGGTCAGAGCTCAGTGAGGCCCAGGGGCAGGTACAGCTTGGAGCAGGGGTAAGTTCAGGAGCAGGTCCGACCATCTGAGGGGAAAGGGCATGCGGTGGGGGTGCTGGGAAGTCCTTAAGGTAAAAATGTACAGAGAAGTGCCATACGCCCCTTTGCCAGTCACTGGCTGTTGAATCCATTAGCTCAGGGTTGAGGCTGCCTAGCATGATGGGTTGGCTCAGGGCCATCTGCCTACCCGGATCTATCAACACCAGGGTGGGTGTCTGGGGGAAGGAAGGGAACAGCCCCATGAGCGCCTATGTCTCCTCTTCAGGGCCCTGGTGGTTCTGTTCCTGGCACCTTTTTGTACCCCCATGGTGTGGGCCAGCTGTTCCCGCTTCTGCCTCACACTCGGGAAGTGACGTAGACAGAGTGCACACGCTCGGCCAGGGTGCTCTGCAGGTCCTGCAGCGGGTCCAGGCCCTGCACTTTGCTGCTGCGGCCGTAGATGAGCTGCCGGAAGGCGTCCTGCTCCAGCAGGGCTTTCATGTGCTTGAGGAAGAAGCCCTCGCAGAACAGGGCCAGTTCTGGGGCATTGTGGATCTGTGGGCAGGGAGAAGAGGGGTGAGGTACACTTGCACAGACTACCTGCAACTGCCCCCCAACCTCAACCCCAGATGTCACCCACCCAGGGCCAAAGCCCAGCTTAAACTTTGCCCTGGCCCCAGGGGAAGTGTTCCCCATCTGCATCTTGAGGCCACCTCCCCCATATCTGAGTCCCTTCCATAAGCACCTGGGAGCAGGTCCTATTGGTTCAAGTCCTAGCCGTGCCATCAAGAGTATTATTGAAGTCTTTCTTTGCCTGTGTCACATGAGTGACATCTTATTGAACAGCAGTCATCCCCCTTGCTAAGAGAAGGGACTGTCTAGCGTCCAGTACAAGGCTTAGCACAGGAGTGCCCACTTGGTGGATGCTCATAACTTAACTGAACACACGTCAGCTGGCTCTGGGCATTAGGTGCTGAGGTCACGTCTCTACAAGGCTCTCTGCAGCTAATGTTCTGGGATGGGGGAGACAACAGCCAAGGAATCAGCCAGATAAGGTGATTGCAGACAGTGCCCAAGGCTGCCAAGGAGATAAAAGCTGGTGATGTAGAGTGATAGGGTGGCTTGTGGGAGGTCTGGGGACATCTGACGCAAAGGGCTGGACTTGGGAAGAGGGAATGGTTTTCACAGGAGACCTGGGCAAGCTGAGAAGGCAGGCTAGTGTGTCGAGGCAGGGTTGTGCTGTGGTTCCTGGGTAGCACGTTGAGGGTTGGCTCTTTAGTTTGCAAGCAGTGGGAAACCTCTGAGGGCCTCAATTAGGGGGTGACATTTGGACTTTCAAAAGAACCTTTTGGATGGCAGAAGAGAGGCAAGGGAGTAGGGGGATGAGGCCAAGGCAGTTATCAGAGATGAGGTTGCAGAGTGGGGACAGGAGATGGAACGGACAGACTGTTGATGTCTATCAGAAGTAGGTGACCAAGATGTGGGAGGTTTTTAAAAAAAAAAAAAAAAAAAAAATCAAAACTAATGGGTTTTGAGTCAAGCAGATTACAGTACTGTTTGCTGGAATATGGAAGACGGGGTGGTGGGAGGAAGCCAAGGGAACTTGAGGAGTTGATTTGACACAGACTCGGTTACCGCTCTGGTCCACAGAGCTCCATGGCGTGGGGCCAAGCTGGAATATGACCATGTGTGGGTGGCAGTGATCACAGAGGGGGTTGCTGCTAACACCTCAGCACCCTCCACTGCCCTTCCCATGGTGTGGCCACTGAGCAGAGCCAGTGGAGTAGTGTGTGACTGGGAGGTGGCTTCAGTGTCCCTAGTGCTCACCTTGGCATATTTGTAGGTGTTCACAGCGCTCTCCACACTGAGGGTCTGTGAGCACAGGATCTCACAGTGCCTCTGCAGTGCGTCCAGCTGGAACAGGCTGGCAGCAGACAGCAGCTGGTAGGGAGGCAAAGCAGACTTGAGTACTTGTGACCAGGCTTGTGGCCTGGGCATCAGAGAGTGTGCCCTGCTTCCTGCAAGCCTTAGGCCCAGCCTCGTTGTTGTTCAATTGCGGGGCAGAGGTGATGGCCTGGATTTGTTTTTGCTCTAGGCCATCTCGGTATTAACAGGGACAATGGGGGAGGCACAGAATGGGTGACAAGCAATGTCAGGTCTGAGTCATGTGCTTCATCTACATGAGCTGCTGAACCAAGCACCCAGGCCAGCAGTGGCCAGGTGAGTGAGAGGCCCAGGAACCATCTGTCCTTTTTTAACCTGTGGGCTCAGTGCTATACACAATTCCCAGTCTCCAAACTTATTTCAGAACTGTTCTTGGTAGATGAAAGGAAGGATCCAACAAGGAAGCATGAGGTCCTCACAGAAGTCACCTTCCTCCCCTTTTACCCCTCCAAATGTTGTTTTTGAGAGTGGGGCTGAGGCCTACAGGCGCCTAGAGCTGGAGAGCACACATGCAGAGAAGATGAGGGACGCTCACCTCCAAGATGTCAGCAGTGGGGATTTCCATGGACTCTGTCCCTCCGTAGTACAGGTACTGCATCATCATCTGCCACGGAAGAAGCCCTTGGTGAGAACCAGTCAGACACAGCGTGCAGGTCCATACCCAGCCCCCAGGGTGCTCCCCTGGGCCTTCCCATCTTGCCTTGCTGCAGTCCCCTAACTTTTGTCTTTTTTGCTTAGAGTGAGATTCTCAAATGCTGTGTTTTCCCTGAAATGCCACCTCTTGCAGCCATCTCCAAGACCATCTCCTGACACCTTCCTTGGATGATGGGCTCCTGTCCCTGGGGTGGGTGGGGCTTCCCTTTTAGCCTCATGACAACCCTGAGAGCCCTGGAGAGAAGAGGGCTTGGCTTGAGTCAGCCACTCATGTCTCCACACTGCTCTTGGCTTGTGTTGTTTAAATTCTACACGTGGAGCCAGGAGGGAGGCGAGTCTCCGAGGGGACAACTGTCTAACTTGCCACCCTCAGAAGGCCATATGTGAACACTCAGGAAGGTCTGTGCCCTAAAAACAAAGTGTAGAGCCTAGGTCCTCATCTGGGGCTCACATCTCTGCCTGGGGCTCTCAGGAATTTGGTGGGGGGTCTGCCATGCCACAGGAAGGGGAGCTATATTTAGTTTTTAAATCTAAGTTACAAACTCTGCCATCACACTGGAGCCTGGTGAGGTTCCCAGCTGGAAAAAGAAAAACAATTCTCTCGGGTTGGCTGAAGGAACAGCCCCAGCAGGGCCCTGGCAAGCGACTAGGTAAACAGGCTCCAGCCCTCCAGCCGGCGCAATTGGGCTCTGTTAGGACTGGCCTTCAGGCCAGAGAAGCACCAGAGGGTCTGGGAGACAGCCCAGCGGTGGGAAGAGGAGCAGCCTGCAGGGGCCAGGTACTGGGAGACATCAGCCTGTCCCCAGGAAAGTGGGCCTCGTGGGCCTTGTGCAGCCCTGGAGGGAAGCTGCATAGTCATATTATAATTGCACTTCCACTGTCTGTCCCTTGGGATGGTGCATGTCTTAGCCCTTCTGTGCTGAGTGGCAGTGCCTGCAGGACAAGGCACAGATGCTAGATGCCCAGGGTTGGAACAGGGTAGGTGGGTCAAATCTTCCAGGATTCTTTGCTAAGGGATGGCCTCAGAGCAGCCTCTTGGCAAGAGGTTGGGGATCTAGGCAGCCAGCTTGTGGTCCCCTGCCACAGCCTGGAAGGCCACCTCGTGCTGGCTTTTAGGAGCTGATTTCTGTAAGCCCCTGCCAGCAGTAGTGCGTGGACCTCCCTGGGGTCTTCCTGATGCATATGGTCCCCAGAAGCCAGGTCAGAACTGCTCCCTTGGAGCCTTGTGGAGGGAGGCTAATTTTGCATTGCCTGGCAGCCCCCAACAGATGGGGTCACCTGCCCTAAGGGCTGCCAGAGGAAATGCCACAGGCAGGACCAGCTGTAGAGGGATGGCAGGCTTTCCTTCTGCTGTGAGTGGGCCACCAGGAGACTGTAGTGCAGAGACAGGACCTCAGAAGCCATGTCAGAATGGCAGGGTTGGGACCTTTGGGGCTGTTCTTCAAAGGCCTAGGTTTACCATGCTTGTTAAGTCTCTAGACCTACCATCCAATATGCTAGCCCTGGCCAGATGTGGCTTCCAAGCACTCGAGCTGTGACTCGTCTGGATTAAGTTACGCTGTGTAAATACACACTGGATTTTGAAATCTTGGTATAAAACATCTCAGTAATTACATATTAAAATTAATTTAAACTTTTTTTTTTGGTTGGCAGGTAGGTACTAGGATTGAACCAGGAATGCTTTACCACTGAGCTACATCCCCAGCGCTTTTAATATTTAGTTGGTGAGGCTGACCTTCAACTTGTGATCCTCTGGCCTCAGCCTCCTGAATTGCTCAGATTACAGGCATATACCAGCACATCCAGTTAATTTAGTGTTTTAAAAAATCTGACTACGATATTTTAATCTGTAATATGTGATTCTCATTATCTTTATATGAGATTTGATCTCCTCAGGTTTCTGTTTCCTCCATTAGAAAACAAAGGTGATGAGCTCTTTCCTTCCTTCTCAGTTCTATGAGAGCTACTGAGGTATCTGGGGGTGGCTCTGTTAGGAAACCCTGATCCTGGCTTGTGGCTGTAGGCTGATCCCTCCAGGGGAGCCTGGAAATCAGGAGTGGATGTTTGGGGGGGCCTCTCCTAACTGCAGAGTCTGTATACATAGACCCCCAAGGGATAAGTCCACCATCAGCCTCAGAGGCCTGGGGAGGAGGCAGTACTTTCAAAGCCATGTGTGCCACAAATATTGGTCCTGTTCCTATTTAACCTCTCGACTAAGCCTGATCTGCTCTGCCCTCCCTTGGCCCAGCAGGTAAGCAAAGTAGCTTTGCTGGGCAGCCAGCTCCACATGTCCCAGCGGTGTCACTCTGTCCCCACTCTCCTCCAGATCCGCCTCTGTTATGACTCCACTGTGTTCTCCACCTCACCTGAACTTTGGGTTTCTGGACCAAACAAGTATGTGAAGCTGCCCCAGTGAGTTTGACAAGGGATGAGAAAGAGGGAAGGGGAGACGCCTCCACACTCAGGCCAGAACCTAGGGTCTCTTCCCTGCTTCCCCCACCCCCATTCTCCCCTGGTCAGTTACTGCGTCCCATCCATTCACCCTGGTCCACTTTCCTCTATCTCCTGCTGGGGCTCCAGGTAGAGTCGTGCCCTCTGGTCCTTTCTAAATGTAAATGCTGCACAGGTCTGGAGTTTGAATCTTGGCTCTATCACTTCCCAACTGTGTAACCTAAGCCAATACTCAACTTCTCTGTGCTTCTGATTCATCAGCCAAAAGGGGATAACAATATGCCTATGTCCCCTAGGGCTGTGATGAGAGCCCATCCTCCCCAAAGCCTTTGAAGCTTCCCCAGTCCAGTTTTTGGGTCCAAGTCCTTCAGGCCATGGCTTATTCCTGGTGGTTCCGAATTGATAACCCATGGCCTCTGCATTTGCTGTTCCCTCTACCTGGAGCTCCTTCTCACTGGTCTTTGAGACGGGAAGATGTGCCCCCTCATCTCCTCACTTTTGGGGGAAACACCCTTTTCCTGTACCACCAGACCCCATGCATACCCCTCTGTTTCATTTCTTGTCTTGCTGAGACTGGAGATCCTGTTACCTCTCTATAGTAAACATGTGACTCAAGGGAGCATGGGAAAGGAAATTGGCCATTCTGTTGGTGGCTCCCTGTACATCCATGCCATGCTATGCTTTCTGTTATTTCTTTCCTTAGATGAAACCCTCTTGGCCTCTGGAGGAGTTCAGCTGGAGAAGCTCCTCAGTTTTTCCTGTCTGGCCAGGGTTTGATGCTTGGGGAATGGAGCGTCTCTCATACCAGCCTTTCCCCAGCTGCACTATGTGAGTGACCCACCTGGGCAGCTTATGAAGGTGTAGGGTCTGGGGCAGGAGGCCGGGGTGGGCCAGGGCCTGTTTCCAGCAAGCCCTCAAGGAGGCTCATTGCCGGGAGCTCACGCTGATACAAGGGCCCACACTTCAGGCATATGCCCATCTGAAGATGGTCTGGAGCTTCAAGTTCAGGACCCATGACAGGCTCTGAAGCCACAGCCCCACACTGGGATGGCTCTCTGTACACAGGAGGACCTGAACATTCTCATCTGACCACGAAAATCAGAGGGCATGAGGGACAGTGGAAGAGCAAGGCCAACTCACAGCTGTACCTAACCCCAGAGGGACAAGTGTAGGCTTGGGGGAAGGCACCCCGTCCCAGAAGAGCATAGCACTGAGCTACATACCTGAAAAATGTGGTACTTCATGTCGCTGATCTCGATGGTCTTGCTGCTGTCCCCATCTTGTTCTGATCTATTGGTCATTAGTGTCTTGAACCTGGGGCAAAAAAGATGAACCAAGGAGAGGCTTGAACATGACTTCTCACTTCATCATCGTGGCGGAAGGCACCGTCTGTCGCCTGACCAGCAATTGGAAGACGGAGCACTGTAAAAAATGACTGCTGTGTTCCCAAAATAACTTGAGGCAAGTGACATTTTATATCATCCTGGGATGATGGCTGGCCTGATGACTCTGGTGGAGCCCTGCCTCTTCATTTCAGAAGCAATAATGCAGCAGGATGGACAGCCCTTCCTCTGAGCTCTCCTGTTACACTCTGGGCCCTGCTCCTACTGTGCCTGCTATGCAGTCTGTCTCAGCACACCCCCCCCCCCCAATACACACACACACCAGGGGTAGAGGGGACTCTGGTGACAGGAAGGGCCTGCAAGTGCTACTGCTTCTGGCTGCTCTGCTCTAGCACCTCCAATCTGACTAGCTGCCGCTGTTACCCGTGGCTCGTACCTGTTGGAAGCTGTCACCAGCAGGACTTTGTGTGCATAAAACAGCTTTCCTTCTACCAGGAAGGTCACATCTGACATCTCCTTGTTGTTCAGAAAGTGAGGGTCTGTGAAAAGGGTAAGATGGGAAACTGGCGGAGGTGCCCACCTCTAGGGCTCCTAAGTGTGCTGAGGGAGGGGATGGGGCGCAAAGGGGAGAAAAGGAAGAGGAGACAGGCCTCACCTAGCCTGGCTGGCAGGGTCTTCCGGATCTCTGGGATGCTGGGGATGGGGCTGCTGCCGTAGCAGTGTGTGAAGATGGTGGCCAGCTGCTGGATGACTGAGTCATTCTGTGGGAGGCGGAGAGGGCCCATGAACCACCACTGCCCCTCTATTGCTGCAGATATGTCAGTTTATTTCAAGGTTTAGGCTAGGATTACAGCAGCCGCTGTCTTGTTCTGCTGGAACTGGCTTGGCCAGACTACAGCCCAGATAGAGCTTCGGCCTCTGCCCTCGCAGCCAGGCTGGACAAGCCCCGGTGCTAGGGTGCCCATGTCTTGGTCACACTCACCTTGCTGGTCTTGAGGATGTCAAACATGAGCTGCAAACCCTCGGTCACCAGCTCCTCATTGTATTCCTCCTCCTTGATGGAGCTGAAGTCCCGCAGCAGGCTCTGCACCACCGAGTACCTCGACTGGGAGAAGGAGGTCCGCAGAGACTCGATCCAGATGTGCAGCTTCCAGGGGACACCTGCCAGTGGGGGAGGCGTCATTCACCTCGCAAGGCACTTCAGCACAGACCCTATGACAGGCTCTCACCATGACCCCCTACCTGGCCACCTGCCCCATCCCTGTGAACTGAGTGACAACTCCCAGTGTGGCTGTGTGATGAGAGCACTAATTCATGTAGAGGCCTCACTGGTCAGCCAGAGGGCCATCTCAGGTTCTCATCACCTGAGGTGGAGGAATGACTTCAGCCCAAGTGCAGGGGATCCAATCTCTAAAAATCCACCACCAAACCTGTGGATCTCTTTCCTCATTGCTTGTTGGGCCCTAGAATTATTTGCTGGGGAAGATCCACTAATTCTGGAGGGGTGGCCAGGTAGACGTGGATACCCCAGAAAGTATGCAGGACATTCAAGAACAAGGGCCCCATCCTATACAGAAACCTGAAATGAACCCTGTCCTATCACAGAGGGGTTCCCAGCAGCCAGCTTGGTATGCCAGTGCACATCTAGGTGTGTAATGTTTACCAGTTCCCTGGAGTGTGTCAGCGGGGCCACAGAGTAATTTAAAACTGCTATGTGAAGTTCAAGACAAAAACCAGTCATTCCTGACGCTTAGAGTGGTAGCTTCTCACCCTGCAGCCTGACGGAATTAAAAAGGCCCCGTGGCCTTGCCCAGAGACCCAGGGAGGTGGGTGGGGCCAGCACACTGGGCAGGAGTGATGTCCCCATTTCCCAGCAGAGCCGCCTCGCTGCTTTTCTGGCCCAGCCCTGAGGGTTTGTGCACTATGGCCCCGGGTAATAACAACATTGCTATCACGGTGGGTACCAGGCCTCGTGCTTCGGGTGATGCCTTCCCATTCTTAGTTGATCATCAGCACTAAACCCATGGGAAGAGAGGCATCTGGGACTCGGGTACTGCATGGTGTGCAGCTAACAGGACCTGGCTCAAGTAGGTCTGTCTGACCAGCCTCCCTGGAGGACAAAGTCCTCAGCCTTGTACACCCAAGCACTGAAAGGTTGGGCAAGCAACCGGACCTGGTGACTCTCTGTGTACAAACCCTCAGGGTGCCACAGAAGCTCCCAGTGCTCTATGTTTCTGGGCTGTGACCAGGGAGGAGGGCAGGCCAGAGGCACTAGAAGGCATGGGGCCATGACTTCCTGATTTGTCACTGCTAAGGACCATCTGAGGCCCAGGGCATCACTTGTCCTGGTCAGGGAGCAGACATGCCCCAGCCACACCTGTGCTCAGCTGCCCAGAGGCCTCGGTCTACCCTGCAGGTCCCAGCCCTCTGGTCTGCTGGGTGACTGCATGCCCGGGTGTAGGTGTGCTTGCTGTGTGCATGTCTGCACGCCTGCGGGGCCTCACCCAGTGCCCTCAGCTCCATGGTGATGTCCACGTAGCCGTGCTCAGCGCTGTAGTACATGGCCTCCTGCAGGGCCTTCGTGCGTGTTCGGCTCAGCCGCATGGGCCCCTCGCTGCCGCTGCCCTGGCTCGAGGTGTCACTTTCCTCCACGCCTTCAGCCAGGATCTCCTCCAGGGACAGCACATCTGCTTTGGCCTGTTGTGGCTGAGTCAGGAGCTTCCTCAGGACATTCCTGTGGGCCAAAGGATAAGACCTGAGGTCCCCTACATGAATGGGCAGTGCCCATCTGAGCGGCCTTCTAGAGCCTTGTGGCCCAGATGGGCTGCTGCAGGGCACCTGAGGGCTCCTTCCCCTCCCACAAAGGTACCCATCTCCAGCCATCTGCAAGAGAAAAGGGAGGGTGCAAGGGACCCCACCCTTCTGCTATCCTGTATTACTGAGGTATCAAAGGCTTTGGGGCTAAGCAGTCCCTGACATCTTGGCTATGGGATCTCACATAGACTGAGCCCTGACTGCTCTGTCACCTGTAGGACAGGGCACTAGCATCACCCTCTCCAGACGCTGATATTAAGCCACTGTGCGCCTGCAGAGCCTGACGGGTGGCAGCAACTCCTGTACAGCAGCACACATAAAAGTGCCTGAAACAGGGACACACCTAGGCAGTCCGCATTTGTTCTCGAGTCAATGAGGAGGAAGTGAATAAGATAGTATGTAAGCAGTCCGGTCCCCCGTGCCGTCCTATGTGGAACTCATACAAATATAGAATGGGAGGCTCAACAAGTGCCGCGTCCCCCAGGCTTCACCAGTTACAGGTTAAGACCGACCACATCTTGCTCTAGGTTACGCTGGGAGCAGTGCAGACCAGCCTCCTCCTGTGACATCCTGGGGTGGCTTCAGCACAGTGGGACCCAAATGTCACCTAGGGGCCAGGCCTTCTCCACACCTCTCCAAACTCACAGCACAGAGCCTGTGTCCCAGAGAGGCAGAGAAACAAACAGCTGCCCACAGGGTGGAGAGGCCACTGGGGGGTAAACACAGTGCAGAGAGGCCCAGGCAGGATGGACAGACTGGACCAGAAGGGAGGTGAATTTAGGTGGGTGAGTACAGAGGACAAGAATGGGGGACCGGGCACTGCAAGAACACAAGACTTGTGGTGAGAAGCCACCTGAGAGCTGCAAGCAGGTGACTGGCCCACCAGCCCTTTTCTGGCTCCTCCTTTGCCCTCTAATAACCTCTTTTTTCCTCTGCCTGCCCCGCCACTCCAGGACGGTCTTGCTGTAGTTTGACTGTTAAAACCCTGGGAAGATCCACCATCTGTTTCTGGAGCAAAATGTGATTTCCTGCAGAGCCACAGGAGCTTCCACCTGGGTGAGCCATACACTTTGTGAAAGTCCCTAAGGTACCCTGAAATTGCCACCAAGCATGAAGGGGAAGTGATCTTGAGCAGACCCTGCAGCCAACTTATTGGAAAATGGGACTGTCTACTCAGTTCCAGTCTCTGAGCCACCCACCACCAGTGTCCCCAGGCCTCCACTGTTTAGGCCCCTGTGGATCTGCATCTTTCTCATTGACATAGGCTCTAGCTTCTGGAAAGGCTGCTCTTCTGCTACCACTTGGGGTGTGTGTGTCCAGGCTGCTCAGAGGTTGTTTTAATGCCCCCAGGTCAGGTGGGGCAGGTACCTGTGGCCGTGGGCGGCTGAGTGGCTGAAGCAGTTCATGTCCTCGTGGAGGGAGGACGCCATGCCATTGGCCTCGAGCATGCTGAGGAGGGGGTCGGCGCCTCGGCCCAGCAGCAAGCTGACCAGTTCGTAGTTCCCTAAAAGACAAGGGGTTAATGCCAGGACAATGAGATGGTGGCTGACCAGGAATGCTGAGGCAAAAGAGATGGGGACAGGGGCACTCTAAACTCTGAATACGGGCGTGGGGAGCCACGCTGACTGCATGTGGTGCAGATGGAGTGCTGGTGAGAGGTAGAGAGGAGGAAGGTGTATCCTGCCCCACCTCCCCTGCTGACCTGTCTGGGGACCACACTCAGCAGAAACACTGATGGATGGGGACAAGGGGAAACTCCCAGTGGCCCAGGAGGGATTTCAAGCATCCCCAAAGGGAGTGTGTGGCCAAATGCCCAGCCTGGTGATTCCACAGGGTAGACGGAGCCTCCTGGCAATGAGAGGTCTGGCTGGGCAGGGCAGTGGGGTACCTACCAGCCGCAGAGGCCAGCTGCAGGGGTGTCTCCGCATAGCTGTCCTCACCACTGTTCACTGCTGAGCCCTCCACATGGGCACCAGCATCCAGCAGCAGCTGCCAGGACACAGGGGGAGGACATCACTCAGTGCACAGGGGGGCTGGGGGACAGTTCTCCCCAGGCATGTGATCAAGACACGGCTCATCCTGGCCCCTGAAGAACTGGACTTTTAGAACTCCTGGTTACCCTCAGGGCTCAGAAATTCTAGAAGCTTCAACTCCACTCTTGTGAACCTGGGCCATGAAATTATGAGTCACTGCTCTTTTTCAAATGCTTTCCCAAATACGTCAGTTACCTTTCTGAGAACTCACACAGATGACAGAATAGAGAGTGTCACTTGTGACCTACAGTGGGAAACTGAGGCCCTGGGAGGCAGCAGGGTGCCGTTCTGGACACTGACCAGTGAGTGACCCGGGGCAGAGACATCAACACCCTGAGCTTCAGTCTTCCCTGTCTGCAAGATGGGAAGAGAGGCCTGCCCTGTGGTGCTGCCGAGATTAAATGAAGTGAATCAGCTCAGCCCACGATGGGCTGAAGAGCTAGTACCCCAGGCTGGCAAGTGAGGGAGCCGGGCAGAATGTCACACACTGTCCAGGACAACAAATGGCCTCTCCTTGCTCCATCAGGGGCAGGCTTAACAGATACCAAGTAGTTCCAGGAGGGCTGGGCCTGGCCTGGCCCTTGGGCAGGGGCAGTGCCTAGGCTGACTCTCAGATCCACTCGAGGGTGGGGGCGGGGAGGCCACCTGCTGGAGGCTTGTCAGTCAGAAATCAGTCACTCCCACTGCCTGGGTCAGTGCAGAGGAAGGCCTGCCCGACAGGGTGAAACTGGGCGCTAGTCCAGGCAAGCCCAGGGCACACCCTATGGGCCCTCTGCTCAGGTGCTCATAGGGCAGTAACTGCAAAGCAGGCCAGGTGAGGTAGCCAGCCAGGCAATGACCACTTGGAGTCCCTAGTATAGGTCAGGGTTAGGTTGACAAACACCAATAAGCTCGATACAATCTGTGCCCTCAGAACTTCCAATCTATCAGGGGACAAGAGATAATATGGGCTTCCATGAGGAAGGGCCAGGAAACCCTGCAGGCACCAGTGACCCGAGGACCTGGGAGTTGAGTGGTGTGTGGCCGTGTGCCTGCTGCTCTGCCCACAGCTTCCATTCCTAGAACCCCCACCCCACCCCACGCCAGCGGGGCATCCTAGGCCAAGGTGGGCAGCAATGTAGCTTGGCTTGACAGCTGAGCTGTGCCAGCTGTCCTCTCTCAGGACCTGGAAACAGACCAAGCCTATACATGGGGAGGGGGCAGAACTGGAAGGACACCAAGGCATAGAGCCAGATTGTCAGTACACACAGAGGTCAGAGGTGAGAAGCTCCAGCATGTGCTTAGGGTGCACATGTGAGAGGAACTGAGGCCTGACCTGTTCTGCTTGGGTCTGGTTCTTGTTTCCCACAATTCTACACATATCCTTCTACTTGCTCCTTTCTCGAGGCACACTGGGTGGGCTGCTGCCCTGCTGATCAGGGAGCCGGCTTTAAACAGTCTCTCTGAGGTCTGATTCATAGCAGCTGCCCTTAGGGGTGACACTGGGGTGATGCTTGGGGCCCAGTCCACCTGGGAAGCAGGGGCATGCTGTGCACCTGGGAGGGGCTCACCTGGACTACAGAGATGTGTCCATGCAGCACGGCAAATGTCAGGGAGGTCCAGTGCCTGCTATCAGGGTGGATGGAGGGGTGCCTGGGAGAGTTGCTTGGAACCTGGAGAAAACAACACATGATTAGGGTAGATGACCTTAGGGTAGGTGACATTCCTGGGCAGGTGACACAGGCATCTTAATGAAGGGGATGGTGAACTGGAGTCAATTCAAGTGCTTTCTACCTACATTCAGTTGGTAACGTCTATCTGGAGCACTGTGTGGATAAAGCTCAAAAAGAAAGGGTAGCAATTAAAGAAATGCAAATTAAAACTACACTGAGATTCCATCTTACTCCAATCAGAATGGCAGTTATAAAGGATACAAGGGACAATAAATGTTCGTGTGGATGTGGTGAGAAAGGTACTCTCATACATTGCTGGTGGATATTGGTGCAACCAATTATGCAAAGCAGCATGGAGATTCCTTAGAAAACTTGGAATGGAGCCACCATTTGATCCAGTTATCCCACTCCTCAGTCTATACCCCAAAGACTTAAAAACAGCCTATTACAGTGACGCAGCCACATCCTTTTTTTTTTTTTTTTTTTTTTTGTGGTGCTGGGGATGGAACCCAGGCCTTGTGCCTGCGAGGAAAGTACTCTATCAACTGAGCTATATCCCCAGCCCCACATCCATGTTTATAGCAGCTCAACTCACAATAGCTAAGCTATGGAAACAACCTAGGTGTCCTTTAATGGATGAATGGATAAAGAAAATGTGTGGGGTATGTGTGTATGTATGTATATATATACACACACAATGAAATATTCTTCAGCCATAAAGAAGAATGAAATTATGGCATTTGCCAGTAAATGGATGGAACTAGAGAATATCATGCTAAGTGAAATAAGCCTATCTGAAAAAACCAAAGGCCAAATGTTCTCTGATTTGCGGAATAATAGAAATAGATTGGACTAGACAAAGGGTAATGAAGGGAAGGGAGAGGGGAAGGGAACAGGAAAGACAGTAGAATTAATCATAATTAATTAATTGATCATAACTTTCCTGGCCTTGTATTTGTATACACAAACGGTAAGTCCACATCATGTATGACCACAAGAGTGGGAACCTAATAGAGTAAGTAATACTTTATATATTTATATTCTGTCAAAATACATTCTACTATCAGGTATAACTAAAAATAAAAAAAAAAAAAATTTAAAAGGGTAGATGTCCAATTAATGATGTAAATATTCTTGGGCAAAAGATGGCAGAAGACCACATTATGTCTCAGAGACACAGGGAGAAGTATTTGGGTATGATGGGGAGGGCTTGGGGTTAGGCTGGTAAACGGGGAATGGTTCTGTAGAAAAAGAATCCTGGCCATTCTCTTTCCCGTCAGCTCACCCTCTCAGCCCAAATGTTAAGGAAACTGTTCTTTGTAATGATCTCTGTGTATTTTTTATTTCTATTCTCTTGAGACATCGACCCAGTTGTCTGAAAAATCACCCACAGCCTGTCTAGTGGAGACCCTGGGGTGCTCTTGCCAAGTGAGGGCCTGGCACCGTCCTGCTGCTTGCTCACCTGGACATCCAGATTTGCCCCAGCATCAATGAGCATCTGTACCATGGCCTCGTCCCCCGCAGCACACGCGTACATCAGCGGTGTCATACCCTGCGTGAACCAAAGGCAGGTGCTCAGCTGTCTGGAACAGGACACGACACCCCATATCCCGTAGGCCTTTGCCTCAGAAATGCCAGACGTGGGTCTCCTGCCTGACCCAACTGCTCATCCCGAAGTCCCCTGCACCTTGTGCCTCCTAGGCCCCTTGGACACAGGGCACCCGCAGGCTGAGCAGTTGCAATCCCACAAGCTCTGCAGATACCAGAGGGAGACAAGCAAGGGCCCACAGCCAGACTTGGGCACAACAGCTACCTCTGCCGAGGGAACTATAAACTGTACAAGTTACGAGTCCTCTCTGGGCCTCGGTTTCGTCCTCTTTAGCACAGGAATGACAGCTGTGTCTACCTCACAGGGCTGCAGAAAAGAGGGTGAGTTTATACATAGATGGGGCTGAACACAGGGAGTAGGCTGGCATCGCCACTGTTATGGAGGAGGACTGCAGGGGCCCACCCTCCCTGCCAGGGCAGGGGTCACTATGGGTGGGCCACATACAGCAGCTGGCTTGGTCACTGGGCTGTTCCCGTGAGGCAGGCTCTACTATGAGCTCCGCTTCACGGATGAGAAGCTGAAAAGGGGAATTAACTGCGGAACTGGGACAGGAACCCAGGTCCATGTGAGCTCTGAAGCCGGCGCTTTGCAGCGTCACAAGAGAGAGACTGAGATTCCTATTTTGTGTGGCAGAGTAGTCCACGTAGGGGCTCCCTCCTGGTTTGGCGGGCAGTTCCCAGCGCTGCCTCCGTGGCGGGTGACAGGGCAGGGGGAGAGTGCGGAGCTATCTCTCAGGTGTAAGTGTGTAGATGAGTCTCTTTACCTCACAATCCTTGCCTAGTGCCCAGAGATACAGAAATGGCCTGGTCACCCACACATCATTCTACTAACGCCAAGTTTAAGGAACAATAGGCTGAGCCTTTGTAGAAAAGTCAACAGCAAAAGAATGAAAATTTGGCTTGTTTCACCCCTCTGTTCACACACTTGACTTTTTGCTCCATGCATCTGTTCACAAGTCTAAGCTTAATGTAGGCTCGAAGCCCTGGAGGAACTACCTTTCGGGTTGTTTCTACCCCGTTTTCAGGGACATCCAGAGGCTAGCGAGGCCTCGATGGACAGATTCTAGGAGCACCATCATACTGCCAGCAACCTGAACAATCATATCAATAGCAAAGCCCAGAGTGAATATCTACTGAGCGTGCACTAGCTGTTAGATGGAGAATTCTCAGCATCACCCCACATGGCGGTACTGTGACTCCATCTTAGAGGTGGGGCCATAGCTCCCTGGGGAGGTATTGTGACTTGTCCAAGGTAGACTAAACCCTCAGTTTGTCGAAGCTAAAGTCCACGGGCTTCCACATTGTGCTGCTGAGGGAGGGGGACAGCAGCCAGATGAAGGCTCCCGTGAAGCCCTGGCACCTGTTTTGACCGAGAGGCCTGTGCGAGATCCAGTGAGAATGTCAAGTCCACAAAGGCAAAGGGTTTCCATGGGCCTGGTACAAGCAGGCCCGTAGGTGTTAGGGATCACGATCCATAGCTTGAGGCTGAACTGACTCCTCTGGGCTCTTTCCCAGCCTTGTACCAGCTGAGACAGTCACCAGTCCTCTAGACAGGGAAGAAGAAGTCACATTCCCAGGGTTGTCCAAGGGGTGCCCGAGAACGTCCAGGCTGACATTCTATCTAGAATGGGAGTCAGCTCACCTCTCTGAAGCACAGAGCTGAGTAACTCTCAGGTTTCTGACAGAGGGGACTATGTCTCTGGCAATTTGTCAATCCCTGAGTCTGGTCCCTAAGCCCCTCCTGGTGGAGCTCTCAGAAGTTACCTGGTCATCCATGGTGTTCACCCCGTCCGGCCCCAGGGCCTCGATGGCCTGGTTGATGAGGTCCGTCCTCCCGCAGTTGAGCATGCGGAAACCCAGGTCCTGGTTGAATTTTTCAGTAGCAGCTCGGGCATCCAGCCTCCGGAAGGAACTGAAACAGCACTCGGGTCTGCACAGAAGAGACCAGGAGGTGTGTGAGCGCGACATACTAGGACCCTGCCTGTCAATGACCCACGACACAGCTGGACCGGGCCAACGTGGACAGTGAGCATGGCTAGGGTGGGGGAAGGACTGGGACCAACACTCGGGTCAGTCGTGGTGGTCTCACCATGTTCTGTGACAAGAAGAGCACACACTTGTTTTTCTATAAACAGGTTAAATAAGTGTGCCGAGCTCTGGAGAGCTGTCAACTGTCAGGGATCAAGCTCTGAACTAAAATAACCTCCCAGGGGCTGCTCTGCAGAGGAAACATTGGCCGATTGGACCTTTGCTCAGAGCAGGCTGCCCTCTACCTAGAGTGTGCTTATGGTGGCCAAGTTCTAGTTGCCGCTGTGTCTCTCTTTAAGAGTTCAGGGGTGGGGTGGGCTGGGGATGTGGCTCAAGCTGTAGCGCGCTCGCCTGGCATGCGTGTGGCCCGGGTTTGATCCTCAGAACCACATACAAACAAAGATGTTGTGCCCGCCGATAACTAAAATAAATAAATAAATAAATAAATATTTAAAAAAGAGTTCAGGGGAGGCCCAGAAGTCCCAAAGGTAGGGAGAGGTCTGGAATCTCACTTGCAATCGACTCTACTAAGGAGAGTTGCAGATAAAATGTGCGTCTACAGAGGGCAAATGGCAGATGCCCAACGGGCAGCTTCCGCTGTGATCGTTGGTTGGGTCAGTGTGGAGCATGGTTCAGGCCTGGGCCATGCAGATCAAGGAGGCCATAATTGGGGTTTGGGCAGAGGTCAAAAATTTGGGTTTGGACAACACTCGGTCTTGGCATTTGTAGAGAACACCCTTAGAGCAGCTTGAATGGGCTATAGCCCCAGCTCTCTGACCCCCTCCCACCACTAGAGGAAAAAGGGAGAAGAGGAGAATTTCCAGTGGCTGGACACGGGTACTTACTTGAGCTGTCGGGGCTCGCAGTCCAGGCCGGGCAGCAGGAGCCGGGCTGCCTGCCGGATGTCGCCGCTGTCCACCGTGAGGCTGCGGCGGTGCTCTGCATAGGTAATGGCCACGCGCATCCACTCCATCAGCGGTGGCAGCAGCATGAAGGGCCTGGGAGCAGCAGAGAGAGGTCAGGTCTTGGTGGGATGCTTCCTGAAGCAAGGGGGCCCCTTCGGTTCATGTGGTCTCAGAAAATGGCCACGAAGTCGAATTGCCCCATAACCTGCAGGCTGTGAGGTGTGGAGGGGACCTGGTCCTTCTGCTCAGAGACCTCAACTGCCCCCCATTCCACAGAAAGCTTGTCAAGGGTCAGGAGGAATTGCCACGATGGCTGTACTAAGCAGAGCTCAGGGTCTATAAATGGCAGTGAAAGGAGGCCTGCCAGTGTGCACAATGGAGACTCCTGCCCCCTCCAGGGATTCAGTGGCTAGGTTCTCTCTCTGAAGGGGGGAAAGGTTGTCCCCTGAATAGTAGATGCAGACCCAAACTCTAGACACGCTAGTGTCACCTCAGCATCCAAAATACCGTCTTTAACTGCCGTAGAGTGCAACCTGGGTTTTCCGGGGCTGCGGGGCGGCTGGATGAGACACGTCACACCACACATGTATAGTTCACGGCCATTGCTCCCTTGGCTGGAGCCCAGGCTGAGGTGGTCCCTACAACCTCCTGGGTCAGCCCAGGGTGGCTCCAGCCTGGTACTCAGGGAGGAGTCGCAGTCCAAAGTCCTATGGGAAGATCAGTCCCAGGAGGCCTCTGTGACACCAAAAGCCCACGGCCATGGTGCAGGACAACTGAAGGGTCGCCAGTAAAGCTGCTGAGTTGCAAGTTCCAGGGGACACCTTTCAAAGCATGCTATGTGCCACCAGGGGGTGCCATTCACGCCATTCATGGTGACTGGATGGTCACCCAGCCCGCTCTGTCCATCCGGAATGGATGGTGCGCTTCCCTCACAGGAGCCCAAGAAGGCAGCCCTGGAACCCCGCCCCTCACGGCTGTTCTCTCTGATGATAGCCCAAGAGTTGGCCTCCTGTCTAAGTCCCCAGCCCCTCCTGATGCCCCATCCCACAACCCTTCCTTTTAAGCTAAGCCAGGGAGCAGGCGCCAGGCCAGGGCAGGCAGCCAGGCCCCACACACTCCACTTCCTGATACCCGGGGCTCTCAGGCAGTGGGCCTGTGTGCCACCATCTTTCTGCTTGACACACTCCAAAGCACTCCAGCCAGGAAAAAGATGTGCTCTCTCCCTGCTCAGTTTCTTCAGGTAACCTCCAAAGACTGCCCTGTCACTTATCCCATGTCTCTAAAACCTCAGGCTATTGCCATAGTTTTAAAAGTTCCTCTCCTTGAGGGCAAAAGATGCTTAAAACACACACACACACACAGTGAGTGAGAGAGAAATCAGATGTGACCTTGAAAGTGGCTCTTTTGGGAAGTTATTCTGATGTTCTGGTTCTGCTGGTACAGAAAATCTATCTGGGTTTGTGTCACTGAACTGGTCTACCATGTGGACACAGGGAGGCCACAGGCTGGAAAGGCCTCACAGTGTCCTGACCTTCAAGGGGGCCCAGAGCCTCACTCCACTTTATCTGGCCCTGAATACCTGTTACCAGGACATGGCTGACCAGCAGCCCTTGAGGTTCTCCAGCTCACCCTGCCCAATCCCAACTCTTTGTCAGAGGGGTCAGTTTTCGACTCTGCCTGTCTAGATTCTATTTGTCCTTCAAGGCCCCATTCCAATGTCACCTCTTTCCAGAAGCCTTCCCAAATTCTCTCTCAAAGCCATCTCTTCCTGCTCTGAAACCCCCTAGACCTCAGTCTTTCAGCAGTAAAGCTGTGTCCCGTGTTCCTGCTAATGTCAGGAGTGGTGCCCTCCTCATCTCTGTATTCTCCAAAGCCTGTGCAACAGATCCTCTGTGAATGTTTGCTGAATGGCTGAAAGTAGGGATCAGCATCAGCATCAGCATCACATATCCAGGCCTTCAGTTATGGGCCAAGTCACGTTTCTTCCCAGTTAAGAATGACGTCTGATTTTGAAGGGCACAGTGTTGACTCACTAGAGTAGGAAGTTAGAACTTTATGGGGGAACTTGTGTAATCTAGAGAGGAAAAACAAGCTGTTCACAAATTATCCCTCTGCTAACAAGATCTCCCTTGATTATAACTGCTCATGTGAATTCCCCCTGCCAAATATTTTTTTGTGAATTTCAAAAAAATACCATTCAAAAATTCATTACAAGGCTGGAAGACAGGCTCAGAGAGACACTTGTATCTACCAGTCCTCCTAATCTGAGGAGACGACTTTGGTTAAACCATTAGCAGTGGTGACTGACGTGTAAATAAAAAGATAACTGGTGGCTCTGCCAGCCATTCTTTCCTATTGTGGCCAGAAGCCAGGATGATGTGCCAAGTGCGGCTGCTAAAGCTCTAAGTGGGCATCTCCCAGCTGCACTATGGGAAACCCAAGAGGGAGTTTGGGAAATCATGAAGCCTAACCAGATGGTGTCTTGACTCATTCTCCCGCTTCATGCCTCTTAGAACTCAGCACATGAGAAAATGCAGTATTGATAACCTCAGTGAGTGTATGCTGGGGACTGGCTCATGCTGCCTCCATTGTATCATCTTGCTTAGGCACTGGAAAGTTGAAAACCATACTTCCCAGACTCCTTTGCACCTGGGGTTCGACATTCAAATTAGATTTCCCCATTAAGATGCTGCTTATGAGTTCCTGTAAGTGACTGTGAGGCAGAGGCCACCTTTGTGTTCTCTCTGTTTTTGTTAGTAAATGAGGTCATGAAAGCATCAGATCTTTTTTCCCCCTACGTACAGAACATTCCAATGTCTACTTTCTTTCTTCCTTATGTTCCAGAGGCAGTGCAGTGGTGGTAAAAGCAGCAAAGACTTCCTGATTCTGGCTTTAAGGTGTTGTCCTTGCAGCCATTCCTGAAGGCTCAGTCTAGAATCTGCTCCTGAGGCCCTTCCCGTAATTCTGTTAGTGCCCAATACCCTTCCTTAAATCCCTTCCTACTTAAAATACCTAGTGCAGTTTCGGTTTCCTGAATTAAACTTTGATCAATACTCTTATAATACAGAGAAATTTAGATCATCCCTCTGCTTCTGGGTAGTGGTTAGTACCCATCCACTGCCAAATAAGGCTGTACCTGCCCCAGTCCAACTTTGTCAGGCCTTTCTCCTTAGCCAACTCACTCCCTGGCCTGAGGTCCTAGAACGGGTGAAGAGATAAGCGATTCACAGGCTTTCTCAGCAACATGCCTCCAGGGGCTATGGGTTTCAGGATGCTGTTTCCTTTCTGGTAATTTCAACTAGCCCACTGAGCTTGTTGAGTAGAGCTGGCCTACATTACTGGACATTCTGGAAAATCCCTATAAAAATTCCCATCTGCAATGGCCATGACTGTGTTCTAAGTCCAGGGTAAAAGGGCCTGGAGGAGCAAGGCTGAGGACCACTGATGCATGTGCTTTCCTCAAGGTCTCTCTGCCTTGTTCCTTCCCAAAGCAGAAGGCCATTTCCCACTTCTTGCCTCTGCCGGGCCTAAGCCCAGTTGCAAGTCTTTCTGTGCCAGAGTGTAGGTGTCAGGACCAGGAAACCTGCCTTGCCCAGTCCTTCTGCCTCATGAGTTTCTCTCTGCCTGGGTCTGATAACTCAAGAGTAGTGGTTCTCAGATAGTTTTGGTTTCAGGACACTTTTCATACTTCTAAAAATTATCAAGAACCTCAAAGAGATTTTAGGTGTGTTATTCTATTGATGCATGGCCATCAGAAATTGAAACCGAGAAAATGCTAAAATGCATGAATCTATAACTAACTCCATATCCCATTAGCTGTTAGAGTGACATCACCATCACATCACATGGTATCTGGAAACCCCTCTCTCCCATGACAAGGATGAAAATACAAATAACATTTTTTTTTTTTTTTTTGTGGTACAGGGGATTGAATCTGCTCCTGAGGCCCTTGAATGTACTAGGCAAGTGCTCTGAGCTATACCCTCAGCCCTTTATATTTTATTTTGAAACAAGGTCTTGTTAAGTTGCTGAGGTTGGCCTTGAACTTGAGATTCTTCTGTTTTAGCTTCCAGAGTGGCTGGGATTACAGGTGGGGGCCACTGTGCCTGGCTGCAAATAGTATCTTCTGAAAACAAGCTGTGGACTCCTAGAAAGAGTCTCTGGGACCACACTGGAAGGACCTCAGCCTTAGAAGACCATGGCGGATCCCTAAGACAACACTGCTTGGGGTGGGCAGGCAGCAGAGGCATGGGGCAGGACTCTCCCCTCTGGTGGCACAAGATCTGGGGAAAATGCCAGTGTGGCATATGGTTTGTATGCACAATCCTGGCACAGGGATCTGAGGCTCCTAGACCCCTTCCCTGAGGCTTCCTCACTTGGAGAAAGTTCTAGTTTCTTCAATACAATTGAACTTGGGCATATCATTACTCTCCTCGGGCCTGTTTTTCTATTGAGAAAGTGGTGAAGTTAGTGGCTTGTAGACTTTTTCAATGATGAAAACCCCTCTCCTCTTGTTTCAGTGATTCCACATGAAAGTAGCTGTGCCTTCTGCAGAGTTCAAGTGCACGGGCTCTGGGGCATTCCCAATGAATCAAACGTGTGACTCCATGCATGCTGGCTCCCCTCTCCCAGCCTCAGTTGCCTCATGAGCAAAAGGGGTCTAAATCAGAAAACCACCTCCTAAGATGGTGGGAAACACATATGCAAAGTGCTGAGCTCAGTGATTGGAACGTGGTCGTTCTCTGCAAACCTTAACTATGACTGCGAGTTTAGTATCTGTTGATAGAAAAAACACACAACAGCAACAAAGGCCATAGGAATCTGGTTCTATTAAATGCCTCAGCCCCAGCCCTCCCAGTCCAGCCAACCACCCTGCCTCCTCCCTGACAGCAAGTATAAACACGTAAAGCCAGCAGAAGCCTGCCCGCGAGCGGCCCACCAGTGCTCAGCCCGGCTCATAAACCAGAGAAAACAAATGCAACCACTATGCTGAGTGTGGGCTGTGGGCTCTCTGGCAGCACCGGCTCTCCGCCTTGGCAGCAAAGAAACAGAGACAGGAGACCCAGGTGTCACTACTGTTCGGTTTCTTTTCA